ATACTGTGAAACTATTCGATCAGATTTAGACGAAAGTTCTTATGTACTATCATCGTATGTATTATTGTATTGGATGAGGTTTTTGAAGATGTCACACTGGCTCATATATGACATTTCTTGACAATTTATATTGAACATTGTGGGTTTCCTAATCAAACCATTTTGGATAATCCATTTGAAAACTTAGACATTTTTTATCATATCATACTTTCATAGCTGAATTTATGAGGTAGGGTCCTATATTAGGACGAAACGACCGTTCGGTGCTTCCTGGTTTTCAGTGATACATTAGCTTAGGTCACATAGGCATGCTTAACAGCGTCACACATTGATAGTTTTTCTTGATTGAAAAGCAGGATTTGACTATGTAGATAGAGAGATTCCGTGGTAGTGTCTGTCATTGAAAAGTGTACTTCAGAAGTACATAAACCTTGTGAAGGCTGTTCACTCGAACACTAGTAGTCGAGTCATAGCTAACTATCATTTTGTTTTGCAACCTCATGCAATATCCGCAATTGCAATCCTAAACAATTATGTGAAGATACAAGTAAACAACACCAAGTGAATTTAAACTTCACCCCATTGCAAAAGAAGGTGGCTATCAGGACTGAGTAACTAAAGTGATGGCGTTTGAAACGTACGGTATTGAGTTCAAGTGCTGGGATGAACATCAACTATGAGATGCAGGTACATCCAGATGACGAGTCTTAAATATGACGAAACGCGCGTTTATTTATTAGGTATTGTATTGAATTATTCAACCTCAAATTATATTCTTATTTCGGTAGTGTAGTAAGAAGTCGACGTATAGCGCATTACATTTCTAACAATCTGATCACAGATATACTTGTTAATAACATCTATATATAAAAATAAAAGGTCAACTAGACTGGATATATGGAGGGATAAGAGGAGACAAGGATAATAATAATTATAATGTGAAATTAATTTGAAACCTAATCACTCTGGATAATAAGCTAATATTACCAGGGTAGGTTTAAGGTGAGAACAAACTATTTTTGAATACACAAAGGGGAGTTTGAATTTTCGTAAGGCTAAGGCTTTAATAAACCTAAGTATACACCCTTTTACACTTTTACGTAACACCATAAAAGCCACATTAAGATCAATCATGTGACTTGCTTCAACTACGTGTTTGACAACAGGGGATGATGGATGTTTATCATGTATTCTTATCAAGTCACTTGATTGTGTTTCTTTCTGCAACCATTTTACTACATGTTCACACACCTCAAAGTATATACATATTACAACTTATTGAGCATAGATACAAATCAAATCATAATTGTATGTAGAAGTTATGAGTCTTATAAGATTTAATGAACTTAGTGTTATACAATAGATTCATAATAGATGCTTAGTATTTAAGAAAGATATAACTTGGAAGCACTGGACGGCTGTTTCGTCCCATTAAGATTAATAGGTTCTGGGTTCGAATCTCGTGAGGCGGGATCATGGATGTACACTGCCACTGGAAAGTCCCACAATAGGACGAAACAGCCGTCCACTGATTCCAGGTTTTCCATCATGATCTAGCTTCAATTGACTCATTATCTCAACTATTACAATTACTATAATATTCACAAAAAACCTCTTCTGATATTAAAGATATTACCTTTGATTAATTCAATATAACATAATTGTAATTTAATTTAATTGAAGATTTGTATATTGACTGATTTGATGGATGGAATATGACCTAAGATCAAATTGAGTCTTATAAATTGATTTATAAATAAGAGAAAATATTGAAAGGAATGGTTTGTAATGTAGGAACAATTGGATTTAAAGAAAAACGGAACAAAATAAATTGTAGTATAACTAGGAACAGTTCAAGCTTCAAGCATCTTATTGTTGGGGAGTTTATGAGTATTTATTTGAACATATAAATATTGGTATAAAAGAGGCAATGAATACATACAAGTCACTTTTGTGTTGTGTGTGGGCTATGATATTACCCGGGTGCTCAAACGCAATCAGGTGATCTTCTTGGGGAGTCACACCCGAGGCCTTCAACCGAAAAGTCTGATCCATATGACAGTGGAGAAACGTCAGGAGATGGAGTCTAATGGTAGTCGGTGATCAACGATCGGTTCATGCGCCACTTGTTCCCTAAAGATCTTGAAGTCCATGTGCACCACTGATTTGGAACGAGGGTATTCCAACTCCTATATGTGGATCTTCCATATCTACCGACACGTTGAAAGTGCAAGACATTCACTTTTCGTTCTTTCAACTTCGTAAATAACAAAAATGCCGAGAGACGGCAGTGAATAGGACTTCCCTGTCAATGGTTATTTACGCGTGGCCATGTGAGAGTATTTCGAGTAAAAACAGTTGATATTTGGAACAGATTAATAAATTACACACTTTTTTTTACAAATAATCTGTTCAGCTCACAATTTGTTCATCTTTTGAAAGGTTTTAGCTTTGAATACATCTACCTATAGATAAATAGAATGAGCTTTAGCTAAATGGATGTGAATGTTCGACAAACGTTTCATCTTGTTTCCACATACATAAAGTAGTAATATGTTTGAGATAATTTTCTTAAACGATTGTTATTATTATGTCCTGGTACGGCCGAGAATAGAGAGGGCCCTCCCTCTCAAAATGCTCTTACAAAGCCACTCGTATACAGCTTCTGCCAGGGAAGTCCTACTCACCGTCTTCTTGTGGCGGGAGTATTGTTGACGAAATTGAGAGGACGAAAAGCGAATTCCTGGCGCTTTAACCGGTTTGATGGACACGGAAAGTCCACCTACGGGGGTTGGAAAACCCTCATTCCAAACCAATGGTGCACATGGTCTCCAGTATCCTGAGGGAACAAATAGAGTATGAACCTATAGTTGGTCGGTGGCTATCATGGGACTGCGTCTCCGTACGATGCTCCACTGCCTTGTGGATCAGACCTTTAGGTCGAAGGCTCTGGATGTGGTCCCCTAAGAAAACCACCTGTTTCGATCTGAGCACGCGGACACTATCATAGCCCTCACACTATTAAATGAAATGACAATTTTTTGTGTTCAGCATGTATATCTGGTGCCCCTTTGTACCAATATTAATGTGTTCAAATAAAATAAAAACAAATAAGTTGTTAAAACCTTGGCTTATTATATTCACTTGACGACTAATATTACAAATATAATAGTTTCGTGGGCATATTGAATTGAGCTATTTGTAGTTATTGCAAGTTTTTTCCAGATTTATTTACTTGCTAAAAAGCATAATGATATCTCATTGTATCAGCAATCTCATTATGGAAAAGATAGTCATAAAAGGGAATTCTATCTATCTAAATTCGTTTTCAGAAAGGAGTTTCGTGGAGATTTTAGTAGTTTTATATGGTTGAAATCATGATTCAATTGAAGCAAGACCACCATTGTAAAACTGGAAGCACTAGAAGGCCGTTTTTTCCTATTGTGAGACTCCTCAGCAGTGCGCATCTATGGCGGTCAAGCTTCAATGGACTCAAGATTTCAACTATATAAAATTACTAAATTCTCCACAAAACCCCTTCTAATCTATAATCATATGCTTACTAGTGACTGACTTCAAGAGATATTTCCTGAAGTTCTAATGAGAAGCAGTAACCAGTGGAGTTCATCAAGGTTTGTTGTGAAATAGTAACTCACTGAAGACAATTGTGAATGGTTCCTCAATTTCGTGGATTGGTTGAAGTTAGATATTAACATCGTTGGATCCCGGCGGGCTCAGTGGTCTACAGGTTAGGTGCTTCCGTGCGAGACTGATATCTCGCGAGGCGGAATAGTGGATTTGCACTGTAACTGAGCAGTCCCATACTAGAACGGAATGGCCGTCCAGTGCTTCCAGGTTTTTCATGACGGTCTAGCTTCACTTGACTAATGATTTCAACTATATAAATACGTTTTTGTATAACCCACTTTGTTAACTATTGTTTCATAAATGTAATTTATCTTCTAAAAATGCAAAGAATAAATGAAATCCGTCAATGTTTTGTTGTTTCATAGTAATAAAGACTTTAGAACTTGTCAGAACAAACGTTCTTTAAGAATGAATTGATGTTATTGTGTTTGGACTTTTTAGTCACGATCAATCAGCAGTGACTTATGTTGTTCATCATGTTTAAATGTAACTGAGGAGTCCCACAATAAGACAAATCGGCCGACCAGTGTTTCCAGGTTTTCCATGATGGTCTAGCTTCAATTGACTCATGAAATCTCCACAAAATCCCCTTATGGAAGAAGTTTTCAAAAGTTCACTCCACAGATAAAACTCCAACTTAAACTAGACCTATGTTTCGGCTTTGCACGTCGTCTTTTCTGATGACTGTCAACAGTGTATAAAAGAGCACGTTTGTTAAACAAAATCACATTATTATGATTGTTTGACAAAAAGGTACTTTGTGCACATCAATCGGTATAGTGCTTGTTTTGTCTATTACTTTACTTGAGTCGACATTCAGTATTGGATGTATTTTACTCTATGGATTTCATCATATATCATATTCAATAAATTAAACTTGATTGAGATCATGAACCGATTGATATTAGACCACCACTGAAAACCTGGAAACGCTGGAAGGCTGTTTTTTGTGCTCGCTAGTGACTAGCTTCGTTAGGGAATTTTCAGAGTTCTAGTAAGAAGTCGTGACCAGTGGAGCTAACCGGTGTCAGATAGGGACAGGTATTTACCTCACTACAATGAAAGATGTATATTGGTTGAATTTAGATATTAACACAGTTGGATGTCAAGCGGCTCGGTGGTCTAGAGGTTAACCGAAGGCCCTGGATTCGAGTGTGGCATGCGGGATCATAGAAGCGCACTGCTGAGGAGTCTCACAATTGGACGAAACTGCTGTCCACTGCTTCCAGGTTTTCAATGGTAGTCTAATATCAATCAGTTCATGATCACATTCAAAAGCGTAATAATCTCCACTACCCCATACTGAAAACTATCATTGATTTCTACTTTATCTGCTCATCTATTTGTTCCAGATGCTGATAAACTAATTCAATCTTCATTAACAACATCATACATTATGAAAAATGTACAATATTCTATTTATAATCAAACAGTTATACAAGGTGAACAAATCACTTTACATTGTATACCTGACCTGAATACAAATTTCATTATTTGGTATTTTACACCAATGGTTACCATGGGAAACGATAATAGTTTCAAAGGATTATCAATGTCTAATCGAAATGATTCATCTATGAATGAAACGATTACAGAAACTATTGAATTAGCTGTTTGTAAACCAACTGTAACATGCAAGTAAGTTAGTTTTTATTTAAGGGTATGTTTTCTTTTGAAATAAGATCACTAAACGTTCATGGTTAACATCATGGATTGATCTTCATGAAACGACTGTTTAATACTAGCACAATGGTGTCAGGATCTAACGCTTCCAGAAAGACCTGTAATTACTGGATTTCATTCAAAAGAATGTTGTGAATTTACACTGTTGAATAGTCTATGACGTTGACTGTTTAGTACATCTTGAGTTTCATAAACTGTGTACATGCATTAAGGATTAGATGTGTATAACTATATGTTGCTCAAACATTTATAGTTCCTTATCACAAGAGGGTTTTGAGGAGATATTAGTATTTTATATAGTTAAGATCGCTGGATGCCGGCTCAGTGGTCTATTGGTTAAGTGCTCTGGCGCGAGACTGGTAGGTCCTCGGTTCGAATCTCGCGAAGCGTGATCGTGGATGTGCACTGCTGAGGAATCCCACAATAGGATGGAACGGTCGTCCAGTGCTTCCAGGTTTTCCAATGGTGGTTCAACTTCAATTGACTAATGATCTTAACTATATAAAATTTATAGTTACACTTCAGTTTTAAAATACATATTAAGTTGTCAATAAGGTAAACATCAGCACTTTGATGAATGCATCAATATTTCTGATTGGATAATTAGGAAAGAAATAATCCTCAACTGACCAAGTATACAGTTCGAATATTCCAAAAGAAGTGAAAATCGAATCTGTACACAAATACTTACTTCTAATGGAGAATAGGACGCCGACTAGGATTCTCTAACCTACTCTGTCCTGTGCCTTGGTTTCTAGTTCGATTCAAAGACAAATAAATCTTATATACCGAATTATGGTAAAATAAAATCGAACAGCGGAAATTCAGAAAGAAATCATTAATAAAACGGTATTTCTGGTGTTAAAAAAAGCTAAGCACTTTCTTTCAGCAGCAGTAAGTTTTAATACACACGAAGGAAAAAGCAAGATTCTCCGATACAATACAGCATGCATTAATCGAATTACACTTGACAGAGAAGCTTTGGAGGACGTGAAAATCTTTACATATCCAGGCAGCATCATCGATGAAGAAGGTGGATCTGATGTACATGTGAGGGCGTGGATCGGAAAAGCAAGAGCAGCATATCTACAATTGAAGAACATCTGGAACTCAAAACAGTTGTCAACCATTACCAAGATCAGAATTTTCAATACAAATGTCAAAACAGTTCTACTGTATGGGGCAGAAACCTGGAGAACTACGAAAGTTATCATCCAAAAGACACGGATGTTTATTAACAGCTGTCTACGCAACATACTTCGGATCCATTGACCAGACACTATCAGAACAAAGTTACTGTGGGAGAGAACAAACCAGATCTCATCGGAGGAAGAAATCAGGAAGGTGAGCTGAAAGTGGATAGGACACAAATTGAGGAAAGCACCCAACTGCGCCCCAAAACAAGCCCTAACAAGGAATCTTGAAGCTCAAAGGAGAAGAGGAAGAATAAAGAACACATTACATCGAGAAATGAATACAAACATGAGAACAATGAACAAATGTTGGACAGAATTAGAAAGGATGGTACATGACAGAATGTGTTGGAGAATTGTGGTCGGCAGCCTATGCTTTATTGGGGGTAACAGGCGTAAGTAAGTTAGTAAGTATGAAAAAAACACTTTCTTAGTTCATTAGTAATATTAAGACATTTGAACAGCCGATTCGTGCAAGAGTACAAACTCTGAATTCAATCTACTGTGGTGATTTCGTGGATACTCACTATTTCAAGACTCTCAAATGAGAAAATATATGACAAATCGTCTTTAGAAATGGTCTAGACAGTATAAGTTTCTAAGTGAAACTATGAAAATTATACAATTTCCACAAATACTGTCATACCGATAAAATTCGTGGATAGATGAGTGGGTTAATATGTTCTCACAGTATTCAGTGAAACAGCTCAAATTTCTTCTCTTAGATTAGTTCACCTAATGTATAGTGTCCAAAGGCTATTGAAGTCGCGGAAACACAGATAACCTTAGAGGAAAGTGAAGTTAAACAATTGAACATGAATGCATTCATTTATTTGGGTTCATATGTAGGATAAGTAAAAAGTATTTTTTCAAGATGGGACAAGAACTTCATAAGAAAACGTGAATAGGTTCATAAAAGTCTATAGCTTTAGATTCTTGCTCTGATGCGTAGTGCTAGACTATTTAAATTGTCAAGCTGCAACGTCACAAGAGAGAAGACAGAAGACCAGTAAGTAGGAATGTTATTCCCACACAGTGTCAAATATAGTATAAAAGTCTCATGTATTTATAGTTTTTGGCTGACAGTAAATCATTATTTCGGACAGACAATAGACACATAAGGAATCCTCCTTATTCATCAATTAGGGAATCTACATGTTGACATTCTAGAATCTTCCTCTAGCAGTGATTGGATGGAATGTCTTCAGCGCTTTCTGGGCTTCTTGAGGTTTCCTTGAGTTTGCCAACGAGCCATCCTTAAAATAATTTAGGGAAAAACTCTGAACGATAGTTCTGGAAACGTTTAAACACGAATATAAAATGACTTTGAGAGTTGATGTTCACTCCTGGACTAGAGCGCAGAACCGTTCGCTTTAAGTGCTATCAAGCTATCTACATAGCTACTGAGTCCTGATAGCTTGTACAATGGGGTGAAGTTTAAATTCACTTGGTGTTGTTCGTTTGTATTATGGTGTGGGTTACTTTTATCCACATAAGTAGTATATAATGATGGTCAGGCATTGAATGTATTTCAGTAGTAGATCAATAACGAAACATAATTCGCATAAAAATACATGTACAAATAATCGAAGAATATGGAGTGATATTTTCAGAAGGAATAGTCCAGATTGAGACAATTGATTGATAGATTGTAAACTAACTTCTCACTGTATAGTTGTTATATTTTACTGATATATATAGTATTTTTGTTCCTAAATACATTCGATTGTCCCTACTCGTGTTCTTGTTCACAACAGTTATATGCCAGTTCCATAGTTGTCATTCAGTTCATTTTCATTACCTCATCAAAGAACAGTCACACCACAGTATTTTCTCATTATTGTTTAGGACTGTAATTGATCAGTCTCTTATTAGCATTTGTGCATTCTGTGCAGACTACCTCGATATTACTTTAATTCACCAGCATTTTAAGTAAAGATGGTTAGTGGCTAGCAGTAAAATCCAGTTTGATGTGCTTTTCATCAAACTGATGCTCATCAACTGATCAATTACAGTTCTAAAAAATCAATGCGTAGATCCAAATAAACAATATCAAGTGAATATATTCAGAATGTTTTTTTTTGGTTTTTTTAAATTACGATTCCGGATTGACACTTTTAACATCTCAGTATATATTTACCATTTTCATTTATTTCGGAACTCTATATATAAATATATACAGAATCCGCTCAACTAATTCATTGCCTTTTTCATTCTAGACAAATTAATTTATTTAACTTAGTTTATTAAAAGAAGGAAATGAAATATATTTCAATGACTCCCCCCCCCTTTTTTTTCCTTTTTCCTCTCCTTTTCTTTCTTTTTTCGTTTTTTCTTTTTTCTTTTTTTCTTTTTTCTTTTTTTTGAATAAATTATTCAACTTGAGTAAATTTTAAAGATTCATTTTGAGTATAGAAAGTTCTGTATATATATGTATGTTTGTGAATGGAAGTATAGAAGAGGCGATACATAGAATCAAACATATTATTTCATTGAAGGGTGATGTTCTTCAGTGAATGATGTAGCGAAGATCCCGATAGAGCTGAATACATGAGTCAATAAAAGCTAGGCCACCATGGAAACCCGTTTCGTCTAGTAATGAGACTCCTCGATGACAGTGCGCATCCACGATACCCTAAGCGGGATTTAAACCCAAGATCTATCGGTTTTGCATGTGAACGCTTAACCTGTAGATCACTATGTCGGCTGGCATCCAACAGTGTTAATGTCTAACTTGTTACATTTTTTCTTTCATGAATGAGAAGTCTATTTTCATGCACATAATTCTCTTCAGTATCTTAAATAGATGAATAATGAAGATTAGTGCAGAATATTATAAACTCATTCTCATCAGCTGCTTTCAAACCGATAATATCTTTAAAATCAACGTCATTATAGATATAGATATACTTATAATAACTACGTAGGTGATAAGAGATGAATATGTGTATCATGATGTAGCGAATATTCCGATAGAGTTATTAATGCAGTTGAGTGAATAATGTGATGGCATTTGAAGCGAATGGTACTGTGTTCGATTCCTGGACTAAACATTAGCTCAGATTCAGGCACATCCAACTGATGAGTCCTAAATAATACGAAACACGTGTCCAGGATTCCACTGTTATCAACCATTTATTTTTGTATTAAAAATTTTATTTTAGATAGATAAATAAAATTTGAGAGGGAAAGTTTCAGAACATTGAAACAGTGATTAGAACTTATGAAGTTAACAAACATCCGATGATTATGTAATGAAACAACTGGAAATACATTGATGCTTATAAAGATAAATATAAATTGAAATCAGTCAATTATGAGTCGAAGATTAAAATGACAATGATGTAATGACAAACTTGAAAAAAAAAAGAGTTGAAATAATGAATGATGTAATGAACAAAAAAGGGGGTGTAATGTCATCAGGGCAAAGAAAGATTTATTACTGTCTCTTTTTGGATAGATAGATCGATCTAGTTTTAGACATTTGATCGCTAACGCTTCGGAAAATTTCAAAAGATTAAAGTTTGATTGTTTATTAATCATCTTGAATGACTTCAAGGTATGGACTTGATGTCCTGTGTGAAGGAGATGTTTTGAGATAGCACTGCTGAATGCTCATTATCTATTTGACCTCAGACTTTTAGGAATATGTTCTTGGAATCGGACGTAGTCTTTCCTTTCTGTTCTATCAATGCCACTGCTTTGACAGATACATGTAAATTTGTAAACATAGTTGGTAGTAACTAGAAGCAAATGCCTATCGACCTTTGATTGTATTAAAGAACACGATTAGCAACGCATAAATTAGAAGATTCATTTGAGCTTGCTAACAGTATGAGCCATATAAATATTGCTGGTAAGTTTATGGATTCTTTTGATGTGACATCATTATTTACGAAAATCAATGTGAACATTTGAGGAAAGTAAGTCGGTTGAGGAAAAAGATTTTCAGAGAAGGAAAGAAATGAGTGCAATTACCATGGAGGAACATAGGCCACCTAATGGCACTCTCCGTTCAAACCTGTCCTGGACAATGTTTTCCAGTTGTTTTTTTCCATTTGCTATTCATCCTTTCCATAAATGCATCGATTTCCAACGTCGTATGTTCTTTAACCTTCCCCTCTTTCGGATCAGTGAATTGCTAAGTTCTTTTTTGTACATAGAAACTTTTAACTTTGTCTTCCGAGGGTGTACTTTGTATGATCTTGTATTTGAATTTGAAACCAAAATATTTTTGATGTGGATATGGGACGGGAATTCTAAGTTTAGTTAATAAATAAAACGTTGGTTCATCTGTATTTCAATCAAGCGTCATCAGGAGACGTGCTTGAGATACATTTTCCGCTGTTTATAATATCTTATTTACGAAAGCAAATAATTATGTAACTTAATAAAATGATTCAATATGTCATATCCTGGTTCCTGCTATTGTAGTGAACCAGAACACAAGTGGGACAGTCGAATGTACTTGAACACAAAAGTACACAAGGTCTTACTAAGAACTAAGAACCATACTTAACATACTTCGTTAGCCAAAAGTTAATCAATTGTCTTAAACTTGACTGTTCGCTTTGCAAATATCATTCGATCATCTCAGATTTTATTATTTCTCCGCTTCCACACCAATCATTCTCTGTTCTGATTCTCTTTTCCTTGATCTTCTTGACCTTCTGCCTCCAGCTACCCCACTTTTGATTATTGACACATCTGTGGACATCAGTAGTACACACCACACAACCATTAAAACTTATGTTTGTGTTGTGTTGGAGTTATTTGATTCCTAATAGCATTATCACACACGCAATAACAAATGCAGGAGAAGACGACCAATGTTGCAGCAGTCTCAGAAGCAGCAGGTCTCAATATAAACAAAGAGAAAAGCAAGAGTCTCCAAAACAATAAAACATGCACCAATCGAATTACAATTGACGGAGAAGCTTTGGAGGATGTGGAAACCTTTACATATCTGAGCAGCATCATTGATAAACATGGTGGATCTGATGCAGATGTGAAGACGCGGATCTGCAATGCAAGAGCAGCGTATTTACAACTGAAAACCATCTGGAACTCAAAGCACTTGTCGCCAACACCAAGATCAGAATTTTCAATAGAAATGTCAAGACAGTACCACTGTATGGGGTGGAAACTTGAACAACTACAAAAACCATCATGCAGAAGATACAAGCGTTTATTAACAAACATCTACGCAAAATACTTCGGATCCGTTAACCAGACACTATCAGCAACAATTTATTTTGGTAGAGAACAAACCAGATCTCATCGGAGGAAGAAATGAGGAAGAAACGCTAGAAGTGGATAGGACACACGTTGAAGAGAGTACCCAACTGAGTCACAACGCAGGCGCTTATCGCTTGGAATTCTCAAGGTCAAAGGAGAAGAAGAAGAGGATCAAGGAACACATTACATCGAGAATTGGAGACAGACATGATAAAAATAAACAAAAATGGGATTGAACTAAAAAGGAAGGCTCAAAACAGAGTGTGTTGGAGAATGCTGGTCAGCGGCCTTTGCTCCGTTGTAAGTAACATGCGTAAGTAAGTAAGTAAGTAAGTAAGTAAGCATTATCAAATCTTCTCACATTGAAATTCAGTAGTTCAAAGTTCAGTATGAAAATTTAGTCGTAGCTGAATACTCATCCTTTTTTCCATTGAGTTAAACAATCCTGTTTCTTTTTTCAATTTATAATTAGAGAACAATATCATTTGGTTAATCTACAAGTTCAATCAAATGGAATATTAACTATAACAAATATACAATCCTATCATAGTGGTAATTATCAATGTGCTATGTTAGCTGGTGTTAAAACAATCACAATGAATAGATATTTAATTGTTCAAGGTAAGTTAGTGAATATATAGAACTAATAAGAACCATTGATATATCTATTATAAACTCATGTATCTATAACTTACCTACGTACGCATGTTCCTCTCAATAGGCTGCCGATCATCATTCTCTAAGACATTATGTCCTGAGCCTTCGCATCTAATTCTATCTAATTCTTGTTCAATCTTCTCATGTCTGTCTCCATTTCTCGATGTAATGTGTTCCTTGATCTTCTTCTTCACCTTTGGCTTTGAGAATTTCAAGCTATAAGGACTTGAGTTATAATCCAATTGGGTGATCTCTTCAATGTGTGTCCTATCCACTTCCAGCACTTCTTCCTGATCCCTTCCTTCGCCGAGATGTGGTTTTTTTTATCCCACAGTAGGTTGTTACTGATAGTGTCTGGTTAACAGATCCGAAATATTTTCCTTAGATAACTGTTAACAAACACTTGTATCTTCTGCATGATGGTTTTCGTAGTTGTTCAAGTTTCCACCCCATACAGTGGTACTGTCTTGACATTTCTATTGAAAATTCTGACTTTGGTGTCTATAACATAGACATCATATAAATAAACAATAAACCTAGACGAAACATCCTTATAACTATCTTAAATGTAGACAAACTTTGAAATGAAATTGAGTTTATTTTTATTTATGAGAAGTATTGTCTCAATTGCTAATGTGCTCAACATTTACCTACTATATCAAACGTTAGAATACTTCAACAGTTGAGGTTATGTATTGGTTCAACAAACCATCACACATGGAATGTGATTATAAGCCAGATATACATGTGTGCACTTGATCAAATAATCAAAATATAACTAACACCTAGGCTCGGCTATTTGTATTTATTATTGTAATACTAATAGGAAATAGTCTGTTCAAGACAAAAATCAGGCTAAAGAAGCACTAAGCGACTGAAAAAAACGTCATCAGGAAAGTTTAATGGAAATTTCGTTCTGGACATTGACAAGGTCAAAAACACATCTCACAGGAAGCACGGATTACAATGGACAGTTTGAAAACTGATAGATAATTTGCTAATCACCCATGAACTAGCTATTCTATCCAATACACAACAAAAATATAGTTGAAGACAACCGGTGTAACAGCAGCTTCTGCTGCAATAGGCCTCAAAATGCACAAAGGAAAAGGCGAAATCGTTAGATGCGACATAGAGAACAACAGATAATTCACTCTTGATGGAGAAGCTATGGAAGACATGGAATATTTCATGTACTGGATCAGCAGCATAATAGATGGACAAACTGGATCTGAAGAAGATATGAATGAACCGATTTACAATGCAAGAGCAGCATTCTTACAAACGAAGAACCTATGGAACTCAAAACAACTGTCTGTCAGTTAACATCGAAGTCAGTATTTTCAATACAAACATCAAAAAAGTTCTATTACACGGAAGTGAAACTTCCAGAACCACCACAATCATCATCAAGAAAGTACAAGTATTTATAAAAGCTTTTCTGCACAAGATACCCGAAATTCGTTAGCCGGACACCATCAGCAACGACGTACTGTGTTAGAAAAGAAATTGGCTTTAAAAAAATTAAGAGGTCAGTAAAATACACTGGAGTTGGATGGGACACATAAAAAGGAAATTACCAGACTACATCACCAAGCACGCCTAAGTTCGAAATTCTGAAGTCAGAATGAAAATGTTCAGATCAAATCACACTCTGTCTTGAGAATTTGAGTGAGACATTAAAAATAAACGAATGAAACTTTTGGTAAGGAAAGATGGAAAGTTGCTAGCAGTGGAATCCAGGACGCGCGTTTCGTCTTATTTGGAACTCGTCAGCTGGATGTACCTGCATCTCAGATTTGATGTTCACTCTGAGACTCGAACCCAGTACTTTTCGCTTCAAACGCCAACGCGTTATCCACTCGGCCCACCTATTGCAAAAGCAAGTGGCTATCAGGAATGCAGGTACATCTGGATGACGAGTCCCAAGTTGGACGAAATATGCGTCCTGGATTCTGCAGCTAGCCACTATCCATCTTTGCTTACTGTGCTAGTGAATTAAGGCTTTATCGACGCAATACGAACAGTATGCACATATGCCAATAAGAAACTGATTAATTACAGTCCTAAACATCAATTGGAATATTCAACCAAAACAATACTAAGTGAATGGAACTTTTGAACAATTAGATGGGAAAGATTGAGAGAGAGTATGTTGGAGATTCATGACCAGCAGCCCATTTGCGAGCAGCAATAATGAACGTAAGATCATCGTTGCTTACAATGCTGGTAAATATGGTTGTAAAAAGTTTTTCTAACAAGTATGTGGTAATTGTTCAATGAGAAAATTACATTTGTTTTCTTTTGATATTTTAGCTCCTCCGAGTAAACCTTCTATTACTGTTAACACCCATAGTACTGCTGAGAAATTGTTTAAATTAAGTAAAGAATCAAATAATGACACTTATATTATAGAAGGTGAATACCTTGATTTGATATGTCAAAGTGAAAAAGGATTACCTTCACCTGAAATAGTTTGGTCTTTTCTTGGAGCGGAAAATACAACAATAACTTCAATGAAGTTGGAAGCATCACAAGATATAAATTACAATATACATGACTCATTACAGAGAAGTGAAGTAAGCAACATAATTACATTTAATTTACTTTATACTTTGCTAACGTATCTAAAGATTGCTTTTCAACAATCAATAATATTCTGAGCAGAGATGGATAGCGGAGGACAGTGGAATCCAGTTTGAAGAGCGTTTCATCTTATTTGGAACTCGTCAACTGGTTGTACCTACATCTCAGAGTTGATGGTTACCCCGAGATTCGAACCTATTACCGTTCGCTTCAAACACCATCGCGTTATCAAGACAGCTGCTGAATTTAGAGGTGAACATCAACTTTGAGATAAAGGTACATCCAGCTGACAAGTCCCGAAATAGGACGAGACCCTCGTCCTGGATTCCACTTCTAACAACTATCCATCTTTGCTCATAAAGCTAGTTACTTAAAGCAATATCGAGACAATCCGTACAGGATGCACATATGCCAATAAGAGACTGATCAATTGCAGTCCTTAACGTCAATGGGACGGTTCAAGTGTACAACACTAAGTGAATTTAAACTTCACCCCATCGCACAAACAGGTGGCTATCAAGGTTGAGTAGCTAAGTAGTTAACGCGACGACGTTTGAAGCGAACGGTACTACGTTCGAGTCCCAGAGTGAACACTAACCCTCAGATGCAGGTACTTTCAGCTGATATGTCCAAAATGGGACGAAACGCTCTGACAGTCAAACAAGGATTTGAGAATAATTTTGCTTATCGTCATATTTTCACCAGATTCATTTTTATTTTGGTCTGGATAAATCTGTAAAAATTTATTATCACTCGGTGTGAGTGGAATTTATCTATGACCTTTGAGTGATGCCTTAGTGACTTTGAGAATGTCCACCTACTTTCTCTGGCCAAATAAGAGTTATAAATTTATCATTTATTTATTTATACATATGAATATTGATACAAGGAGGCACCAGATACATATGCACCGCACAAATCTCATTTGATTTGTGTGAGGGTGGTGACACTACTCAGGTGCCAAAACTGAAGCAGGCGGTTTTCTTCAGGGGCCACACACGGAGCCTTTGACTAAACGTTCTGATCCGCAAAGTAGTGGAGCATCGTAAGGAAATGTAGTCCCATGGTAGCCGGTGACCAACAGTAGGTTCATACTCCATTAGTTCCATCAAGACACAGGAGCCCATATGCACCATTGGTTTGGAATGAGGGTTTTCCATTTCCCCTAGGTGGAGTTTCGGTGTCCACCAACCCGGCTAAAATGCCGAACATTCGATTTTCGTCCTCTCAATTTCGTAATCAACAGTAATGCCACGAGATGTCAGTGAGTAGGACTTCACTGTTAAAGGCTGTATACGCGTGGCCATGTGAGATCATTTCGACAGAGCTATAAACATTTGTGAAGAATAAAGATTATAATTTAACGTTGATGGTTAGAGGGAAGAATTATATTTATAGTTTCCATCGCGAACTGGCATCAACTAAAGTTCCAAAATGCTATTCAGCCGAATGGAAGAAAGTATTTCGCGCTAAAATCCACGTCCTGCGATCTTAAATCTGATTGGTTCGTTCATAAATTATAGTCTCGCCTATCACTCTCTCTGTAAATATATTAAGTCCCGTTCTATTTGATGTTATCAATATTATATAAGCAATAGGTAGAAAGACAAGGTGAACCTCTCGATTAAACTGAACTACAGTTGTATACTAGTGTTTTCATAACTTCAATGACAATTCAAAATCTTGAGAAAGTACTAAAATATCAGAATACGACAGTTATGGAGAATGTTGAATTTTCATTGATTAGGAAACACTGTAATTTTTCAACAATACTCATCAGGTACTCATTTCCAAATAGAATTTCGGGGATATTGGTGAGTAGATGTAATCAGTGAGTTTCAATAATTTTGTTTTGGAAACAATAATCCACAATGAGCGATAAAAGATTGTTTTACATTAAGGAGAATGGACAGATGCTCGTCAACGATCCTGGATTTGATCCTCGGTACGGTTGAGTAAGTATATCATAAAAACAGTACCACGCTAAGATGAGAAATCTCTCCCTTACTTCTTGATATTCACTGTTCGTTCACTTGAGGTCAGTCCGTGGTGTACATTATAACAATATCCGAGTATCAAGTTAAGTATGACAATAGTGAATATTTCACTACTAGTGGATTATTTGCTAGTCGATCGTTTGAATTCTGTCAGTAGTAGCTAAAATTTAATTATAAATGGTACCTCATTCAAATGAACAATTTTTAAACGAAATTAAAGAGTCTTTTATCATTTTCATTGTAGAACACAAGATCATCAGTGTATTTTCCAACAATTGTTCCTTATGGAAATACATCTAGTCATTTTCGTTTGAAAGTGTCCCGATCACATGATGGTATGCGTATTGTATGTAAAGCTGTAAATCGAATAGGTTCAAGTATATCAGAACCATATGTAATCTCTGTAAGATGTGAGTTTTAAGATTCATTTTATTTTCTTCTAACTAAAACTATGAACCTATTGAATGAAAGATACTGAGATCAACCATGTAAACATGCTTTAAAGAATGTGTCTACTCAGTAATTCAGGATGTACTGTTCAAATGTACGTAATCTATCTGACTATATGAGTTCATACTACAAACATCAGACTAATATCCTGAGTTCAGTATTGCTATCACACGAATGTCATGATCACTGATGAATTTTTGAGATTACTTCTATAGGATCCATTGTAAGATGCTGAATATAACATGATCGCTTTGGTTACATTTCATATTATGTATTATATGTCTCTTTATAGTCAGAAACGTTTTGGTGCACCATCATTGTTTTCTAAGAGGCAAGCGTAAAACATAAACCATCTAGATAGAAATGCGAATTGTTATATCTTGGTGTCCTGGTTAATATATCAGGTGATATGATCGTCAATTAGAACATCGACTTACTGACCAAACTAATCACGCATAAATCACTACGAGCGGTCCAGAGTAAACTCTCGATTCTTATTAGTCCAGTAAATTAGTAGCTTCTTGCCTAACCCAACTAGTTTTGTTCAGAAAGTAAGTAACAGCCGCCGCTATACAAATCATATATTTCAGACATACTGGGTTTATATACAGACAAAAAGTAGTTGTGTGTATGGGAGATTGTAACTAATAAATTAGGAATAATTTAAGAATAGTGAATTGCCTACTAATAGTCAATAGGTAAAATGGAAGCTTATAATAAACTTCTTTACGTCTGTTATCATAGGCCGCCCACCAGCGTTCTCCATCCAACTCTGTCCTGAGCCTTCCTTTCCAGTTCTTTCCAGTTAACATTCGACCTTTTCATATCTGCTTCTATTTCCCGATATAATGTGCTCTTTGTCTTTGCAATTTTACGCTTCATTTCCGGATTCCAAGCTAGGGATTGCCTTGTGATGCAGTTCGGTGATTTCTTTAATAAATGTCCTATCCACTTCCAACGTCTTTTCCTAACTTCATCTTCAGCTTGAAGCTGTTTTTTCCTCTCTCATAAAACGCTGTTACTGATAGTATCCAGCCAGTGAATGTTGAGTATGTTGTGTAGACAACTGTTTATAAAAACTTGTACCATTTTGACGATGGATGTAGTAGTTCTCCACGTTTCAGCTCCGTACAGTAGGACTGTCTCGACATTCATATTGAAGATTCTCACTTTGAAATTAGTTGAGAGTTGTTTTGAGTTTCATATGTTCTTCAATTGTAGAAACGCGGATTTTGCTTTGCTAATCCTCTACTTGACATCTACATTAGATCCTAATTGTTTATCAACGATGCTTCCCAGCTTATAGAAAAGGGAATATGAATATGCATATAATATAGTTACTTAATGGCTATCCAATAAGACTATATACAATACTAGTCCATAAGTATTTTCCATCAGTGATCATTCATTTATTCTTCGACCAGATGTGAGCCAAACCATCGTTATACTTTAAATGTTTACTAACGGAATTTTCAGTAGAATATATTAACACTACTCTATTATTTACTAAAATAATTTCAGATGCCCCAGAAATTTTACAATTTCCTGATGAACCTTGGATTGTTTTATATGAAGAACCAAGTACTACTGTATGTCATGCTGTGGGAAATCCTAAACCAACTATATATTGGATAGATCAATATGGTAAAAGAATATCAAGTAAGCATTTAAAACTCTATAATAACTGTATAATACATACTTAGGTCAGAAGGGGTGTTTTGTGGAGATTACAGTATTTTAATAGTTGAAATCATGAGTCAATTGAAGCTAGACAACCATGGAAAACCTGGAAGCACTGGACGGCCGTTTCGTCTTATAGTGCGACTCCTCAGCAGTGCTCATCCGCGATCCACACTTTCGATATTCGAACCCAGGACCTACCAGTCTCTAGCCAGAGCCCTTAACCGATAGACCACTGAGCTGGCATCCAACGGTGTTAATGTCTAACTTCAACCGATCCACGAAATTGAGCAACCATTCACCAATGTCATCAGTGAGTTGATATCTCCCAACAAACCTGGTTAAACTCCAATGGTCACTGCTTCCCACTAGAACTCCAGGACATGTATCTTGAAGTCAGTCATTAGTGAGCATAAATTTGTAAATTGTACAGCGAAACGTCTTAAAATTTTCACCTGAATAGGTTATGCGATAAATAGCCACAATGATGTATTAAAAGAAACAAGAAAACAGATAACTTATCGAAATATCTAGATGACAGAAACACATAACCTAGATGTTCAAGCTGGCCGTCCGTGAATAGACTGACTTCTTTTGAACAATTCAACAAGAAATGTTATATTTATAATTGACTGATCACTGAATGGTGATCAATATCATATATGTCAAGTCCTTCTGAGTGCAGATCGAATCCTATCGATCAATACGGCTACCAGTCTAGCTGACTCAACACTATATTGAGATAAGATGATAAATGATGGGAGGTAGTCAATAGGAAACCCTGTACCTAGGTTTCGTGCTACTTGGCACTCTCCAGCGAGGTGTAATTATTTAACAGTTTCAACTTTAATCGATACTGAAAAACACTGCATATTATTTTCTACAACTTAAGTAACTAAGCCACGCGTATATAGCCTCTACCAGAGAAGACCTACTCACTGCCTTCTAGTGACATTACTGTTGGTTACAAAATTTAGAGGACGAAAAGCGAATGTCCGGCGCTTTAACCGAGTTGGTGAACACGGAAAGTCCACCTAGGGGAGTTGGAAAACCTTGATTACAAACCAATGGTGCACATGGGCTCCAGTATCCTAAGAGAACGAATGGCGTACGAATCAATCCTTGGTCACCGGCTTCCATGGGATTGCATCTCCTCATGATGCTCCACTGCCTTGTTGATCAGACCTTTAGGCCAAAGGCTCGGCGTGTGCACCCTAAGAAAATCACTTGTTTCGGTTTGGGCACTTGAGAAGTATCACAACCTTCACACAAATAAAATGAGAATTGTGGGGCGCATATATATCTCCTCCATGTACCAATATTTATATGTTTAAATAAGTAAAATAAGTAATTTAGTAGTATATTCATCAGTAGTATTGTATTGTTTTCATTCATTTATTCCATTTGTATCCTTTTTTTAATTCAATTGGAAGAAACAGAACAATTAAATTCAGCTATCTTGAATAAAGAAGTCATATTCAATGATGAATTAGGAAGATTTTCTAAAAATAATTGGAGAATTAATGTTACTTGTTATGCTAATAATCTAATGGGAAGTATAGAAAAATCATTAATCATTGAATATTATTGTAAGTTAAATATGAATTACACTTTTTTAAAAAAAAATATATTTTTGTAATTTTGATAAAACAAAATTGAACACCTCGCCGCTCACCAGTAATCTCCATCCAACTCTGTCCTGGGCAATCTTTTCCAGTTGCTATTCATCATTTTCATGTCTGTTTAATATTCCCGGTGCAATGTGTTCATTGTTCTTCTTCTTTTTCATTTACTTTCAGAATGTCAGGTTAGAGTTTGCCTTGTGATACAGTTTCGTGATTACCGAAATGTATGTTCGATCCACTTCCAATGTATTTTATTGATTTCCTCTTCATCTGGAAGCTGATTCATTCTCTTTCATAGTATGATGTTGCTGATGGTATCCGGTCAACAGACATTGATTATCTAACGTAGACAACTTTTTATAAATATTTGTACCTCTTTGATGATGGTAGTTGTAGTTGTCCACGTTTCAGCTCCATATAGTGAAACTATCTTGACGTTTGCATGGAAAATGCTGACTTATGTTCGCTGACAGATAGTTGTTTTGAGTTCCATATGTCCTTCAACTGTTGGAATGCGGACCTAGCTTTTCTAATACATGAGTTTACATCCGAATCAGATCCTCCTTGTTTATCGATGATGCCAACCGAATACTTGAAAGTTCTCACATCTTCTATAGTTTTTACATCACGTGTGATTGAGTTCATGTTCTCTGTATTGCATTTTAGCGTTAACCTTTTTCTTCTTTTTACGTTGAGACCTATTGATGTAGAGACTGCTGCTATTTTGTCTGTCTTCATCTGCATTTGTTGATGCGTATGGGATAGAAGTGGTAGATAATCTAAGACGTTCAAATCTTCTAATTCATTCCACACTGTCAATTGTAATCCATGCTTTCCCTCAGATGTAAAGGTCTTCATAATTCAGTCGACCACCAGAAGATATATATATATATATATATATATATATATGTCAAAGTTGAAATGATGAGTCAATTGAAGCTAGACCACCATCGAATACCTGGAAACACTGGACGGCCGTTTCTTCCTATTATGGGACTCCTCAGCAGTGGGCATCCACGATCCCGCACTCGCGAGATTCGAACCCAGGACCTACCAGTTACGAGCCAGAGCCCTTAACCGATAGATAGATATATTGTATCGAAGTTATTAAGTATTTGAAGCTAATTGATCACTGAGTAGTCATAAGTGCTATTTGTGTCGAATCCCCCATAGTTCTGATCAAATCTTACCAACCAATTTGTAATGTGGTCACTTGTCTAAATGATTTCACAACGTGTGCACAATGTTGTTTGTGTACGGTAGTGTTAGGAGGTCATTCAAGGTCCGAAGATTCCTATCTATAATCTTGAACCACCACCTTACAAGTTGTTATGTACTTTGTTTCATCAGACAGCTTCAAGAAATGCGACTCTGAATGAAAAACTGAAATACTCAAAAAATGGAGGAAATTTCTATTTTTTGACGTTATATTTTCAGTTACGGATGGGTTGATTGCAAGATTTTTATTCTCAATGCAGACTAAATCATTAAATGGGAATGAGTTATTGAATTACTATTCGAGCTTTAAATTAATCTATTCAGACGAATGAATTTGCGATTGAGTAACTGCTTAGGACATTTTATTCTTTTCATTTTTTCCTACGTTTCTGTTGACTCTGTATCATTGAATGAAAATTGTGAGATTGATTAACCTGTTCTTTATGGATTGATACGATTTCACAGTTTTAAAATGAGTTGAAGAATATTGTAAGCAAAGATGGATAGTGGCCAGCAGTGGAATCCAGGACGTGCGTCTCGTCCTATATGGGACTCGTCAGCTGGATGTACCTACATCTCAGAATTGATGTTCACTCTGGGACTGGTCTGAGTTCGAGTCCCAGAGTGAACATCATAGAAGTAGTTGATTAAGTGGTGATAATATATAAAGGAACGATTGTATATAAGAATATAGTACAGGAAGAAAGACAGATATGAAGTAATTTTAATTTCATAATTTGAGGGAACACAGTGAGTGTATACACCTACACCATTGTGATCGATTCTGAGCCATGTCACCTAAAGTCTCCAACCATTGGTTATGATAGCCATGCGGACCCTAGTAACTCGAGTACCTCATAAATTCAGTCAGTCAGGGAAGACAAATAGTGTATACACCTACGCTATTATTATTAATTCTGAGCCATATCCCACAAAGTCTTACTACACATTCACGTTTCATTATATAAAGACTTCATTGATACTTTCTCATGGTTTCTTTTATTGATCTTACTTTTTTTCTTGTTTTAGTTGCTCCAATAATTAAAACACATGATATTATCTATGCTTATAATAATGAATCTATTCAACTCACTTGTGATGCTATATCTAATCCACCACCAATCAATATTTTTTGGTATCGAAGATCCAACAAGATATCATCATCATCATCAACATCATCATCATCCAAATCATCATCATCTTCATCATCACCATCATCCCAATCATCATCATCACCATCTAATTTGATAAATATGAACCATATTCATCATTCTGATCTATTTCAATCAATCAGTAGTATATCTAAATATTCAACAAATTATAATCTAACAAATGATCATTTCTATTGGTTTAGTCCAATATTAAAAATTAATTCAATTACAATAGATGATAATGGTATTTATGTATGTGTAGTTGAAAATAGAATTCAATTAAAAGATCAGAAATCATTTATATATCGTAGAGAAAGTGAAACACGATTATTAGTTTATTGTAAGTTTATTATACTTTATTCAATGTTGAGATGGTGGAGATGGTTTGTAGCTCATATGGATGATTTTGGATGAAGTTTTGTTCTTTGAGCTAGATGGTTTGGTTGTGGAGCTTTCATCGTCTTTCTGAACGTCGTTACGGAACTCATCAAACTGTATCACGAGACTAGCGCTAAATTTTAATGTTGAAGTGTAATAGAAAAGAGGAAGGACAAAGTACACATTGTGTATAAGAATGGAAGTCCATCATCCGTCTACTAATGACAGTCAGGGATTTCCGAGTGAGAAATGTAAACTCTAGATCAATGAAGCGTCTCTTGGTGCGAAAACATGAAATTCAAAGTTTCAAAAAAAAATTAAAAAATTAAAACCTTTTTTGATGAAGTTTTGTTCTGTGAGGTGGATGGTTTGGTCGTGGATCTTTCATCCGACTTCTGAACGTCATCATCAGTATAAACTTTGGGTAGAAGTGAACTGTTTGAATTTTTCTACATGTGGTTCACAGCTTGTCCTATACACCATGATGTTGATTAGTTCTTGTTTATCTTAAATCTGTCATTGTTTATTTCTTTGTTTTGGTTGTATCTCACATTAGATAGATTTTTGTAACTATGTTTGATGTAATTTTATATATGATTTTGATAGGGTAATGAAGAAGATGAAGATCTATGTTCTGAACTACGTTCTGATAATTCTGATAATCATTGTCGTTCTTATCAAACACTAGTGAAATTTAAGAAATTTTTTGTGGAGATTTTAGTAATTTTATAGTTGAAATCATGAGTCAACTGAAGCTAGATCACCATGGAAAACCAGGAAACACTTGACGGCCATTTCGTCATATTGTGGGACTCCTCAGTGGCAGTGCTATACTATACTTAACAATGTTTAGAATAGTATTCCTTTTTACTCGTCTTCTATATTCTCATTTTCGACTAGGATGGTTCTATTGTTCTATTGTTCAATTTATACGCTGTATATTATGAATCTAAGCTCTGGATATAACATCACACGTATTGCTTAACTGAATCTTCTTTCTAAATCCATTTTCAAAGTTTACGATTTCATTTTAAAGTGATAGATCATAACTTATGTTATTCTCAATGACCATCAAATTGTTATTGGTGACTTCATTAAACAAACGATTAATTGTTTCATCTCTTTGATCTCTCGTTACCTATACATTATAATAAGGAATCTTTATTCACTTACTTACTTACGGCTGTTATTCCCAATGGAATATAGGTCGCCGACCAGCATTCTCCAATTCACTCTGTCCTGGGACTACCTTTCTAATTCTATTCCATTCTTGCTCATTCTTCTCATATATGTCTCCATTTCTCGGCATAATATGTTCTTTGGTCTTCCTCTTTTCCCTTGGCTTTTAGGACTCCATATGAGGGATTGCCTTGTGATGCAGTTAGTTGTTGTCCTCGATGTGTATCATATCGACTTCCAGCACTTCTTCCCGATTATCGCTATGATAAGAAAGATGAATTTTTCATCAATTTATTGAAGATTTGAAATGTTTTGGCGGGAATCCTTATCTCAACTTGTTATCAAATAGGATTCGTCATTGTGGTGTGTTTGTAATCTGAATAGTATCTATCTGGTGAAACTTCAATCCTTCATTACTTATTGTCAGAGTCAAACGTATTATCATTAAACCATCAGTACTGAAACTTACTTACCATAGGATAGATATTTGGATTGGTTATTTATTGAGCTATTATCATTCATGTTTGTTTATTTATGAATGTCACATGACCATGACACAAAAACCTCTTTTGATAATAATCAACATATGCTTACTAATGACTGGCTTCCAGAAGTATTTTCTGGAGTTTTAATGAACAGCCGTGACCGGTGTATGTCAACTAGGTTGGTGATGAGAAATCAACACACTGATGATAGTGGTGCATGTGCTGCTTAATTTCGTGCATTGGTTGAAGTTAGACATTAACACCGTTAGACGCCAACAGGCTCAGTATTCTAGAGGCTAAGCGTTAGCGCGCGAGGCCGATAGGTTCTGGGTTCGAAACTCGTAAGACAGCGTTGTAAATGAGCAATGCTGAGTAGTCCCACAATAGGACGAAACGGTCGTACAGTGGTTCCGGGTTTTCCATGATTATCTAGCTTCAATGGACTCATGATCTCACCTATTGAAATTACATAAATTTCTTAAAATTTATAGAGCTCTTCCAGTTTAGGAAATTATATTGTTCCAGGTATTACACATTTGAATTTCGGTTTAAAAAATTATCTACCTTAAGATTTGTTACTTTGGTTTTTTCTTTCTTAAAGATCCACCTGGCAAGCCAACTATTCAAAAAATATCAAATCAGCAAATTGATGAAAACATCACTGTAATATTACAATGTATTCTGAATGATAAATGTAAGTTACCGAATTTTGTATATGATCAAACTATTTAGTTTTAAACAAATATACATGTGAGATCCGAACGCAGGACCTACCAGACTCGAGCCGAAGCCCTTAACCGGTAGACTACTGAGTCAGCATCCAACGGTGTAAATGTCTAACTTCAGTCAATCCACGATTTGAGCGACCGTTCATCAACTGTCTTCAGTGAGTTGATATCTCTACAACAGACTTAATAGAACTCCACTGGTCACTGCTTCCCACTAGAACTCAAGGAAATATCACTTGAAGTCAGTCACTAGTGAGCATATGTTTATAGATCAGAGGGGATTTTGTGGAGAATTTAGTATTTACGTAGTTGAAATCATGGGTCCCATAATGGAACGAAACGGCCGTCCAGTGCTTCCAGGTTTTCCATGATGGTCTAGCTTCAATTGGCCCATGATTTCAACTATTAAAATACTAAATTCTCCACAAAACCCCCTCTGAAATATACATGTAACAAAAATGGAATTGACAACTCTGTTTATTATCTCAATCAAAAACTTAACCATCTCCACAACGGCATACTGATAAATACCATGTGCTCACTCGTGACTAGCTTCATGATGGAAATCTCAGAGCTCTAGTGAGAAGTAATGACCAGTGGAGCTAGTCCATGTCAGGTACAAACAGGTATCTACCTCAGATAATGGAAGATGGTTGCTCGATTTTCTTGGATTGGGTGCTGTTAGATACTATCAACGTTAGATACTGGATCAGCGGATTGCAAGTTAAGCGTTCGCGCGCGAGACATCATCTATCATAGCATCGATGAGGGATTCTATGTAACATACATGATGTGTGGGAGCGATCAAAATCTTTCACAACGACATCTTAAATGTGATCAGAATGTCAGTTGTTTAAAACATTTTACTAACATCAAACTAGAGGCGAATAGATTATGAGGATAAAGAACATTGGATATGGATCCGTCAGAACTATTGCTTGGATTCTCTTAATATTCATTCTTACTTCGTCGATCTAAAGCTTTGTATTTATATAAGGTCATACGTTTAAAAATTTATGATATCCTATACAAACCTAAAAAAACCATTGTAATGACTCGTGGTTGACTGCTATGATTGCATCCCCAGCTGTTACGTATGATCGTTTTTGATTATTGTGTCGGAATCGCTTATCACCTAAACTCATAAACGAGGAACCACTTCAATTCCCGTGACGCGAAAGTAAGGACATCCAGTTTGATACAGGTGAAAGTTTATTAACCCCAAAACACGACGACGTCGACGATCAGACATAACAAATCGTGACACAGTCATAACATAAATATTATCGTTTATTCGTATACAGTATATAAAGTATAATGAATACGATTTTTCATAGTTGAAATCATGAGTTAATTGAAGCTAGACCACCATGGAGAACCTGGAAGCACTGAATGACAGCTTCGTCCTATTATGAGACGCCTTAGCACTGCGCATCTACGATCCCGCTTCGTGAGTTTCGAATCCAGGACTGCTGAGGATTCCCATAATAGGATGAAACGGCTATCCAGTGCTTCCAGGTTTTCCATGATAATCTAGCTTCAATTAACTCATAATTTCAACTTTGCAAAATACTGAAATCTCCACAAAACCCCTTCTGAATACGATTTCCTTTTTTGAATATATTATAGTACCCGGACTTCCAATTCCATCAATCGAATGGTTATGGAGTCGAAAATCATGTAAAACAACAATCAAATCCAAATCAAACGAATTAATGACTCCAATACCATATAAATCGAAATTTTCCGAATATAAAGATCAATTAGTAATCAATCTAACGAATACATTTATGGATGGTTTATATTACTGTCTAGTACAAAATGATAATGGTAATACACTAAGTGATCCAGTTAGTATTACTGTACAAGGTGAGCCATTTATTATTATATAATCTATACTTTGTGTTGTATCCCGAAGAGAATTATGAATGGTAATTTAGGGGATCCGTTTATGAACCAATGTGATATGTATATTTCCTATTGTATAACCGTTAAGTAACTAAAGTATCCATATTTGTGTCCCTCTTATTATAAGCTTCATTTTGATTCATAGACTATTACTGTACGATTCACCATTCCTGAGTTATGCCCAGTCTATTAATTACTGTTCCCCTTATTCACAGTCACATTTGGTTAAATTTTGTACAAATATTATTTTCCATTTTATGGTACGATGTGGTCAGTTTGATTGGTATATAAACTCAGTATTTTTAAGAATATCGATTTATATTGCAGAGGCTGTTATTAATGTTCTGGACTTAACTGGTTGGGCTAGACAGAAAGCAGGACTGACAAGTGATTTAGTTACACTGATAGTATCACTTATATTCAGTCTCGATTGATGTTAGTTGTATGCCAGCTTGAAATATACTTTCGTCTCCAGGATAATGTATGATTTAGTTTATTTCATAATAACTTATTACAGGAAAGTGAACTTAATTACCGATTATAATGCAATGTACTACTGATATTAGGAAACACTTACACAGCATTCAAGATCACTATATTGGAGAACCAAGTTCCTAAAATTCATATTTTGATTAGCATTTCTTATTGAATTGGTTTACTGGTGTTCACTTAAATGAAAACAATTAGTAGTGAACAAGAACATAAGTGAGAACAGTCGATTGTATTCGAACATGAAAGTACACAACATTTTACTAAAATCTGAGAACCATATACCAAAATGTTAATCGATTCTCTTAAACTTTACTGTTCCTTTTGCAAATATCAATCAATCATTTCAAAACTTGATTGTTCCCTAATTTCCATACCAATTCCCTTTTGTTCATGTTCCTTCCTTCTCTATCTTCTCAACTTTTTGCTATAAGACATTCTATTCTTGATTAGCATTGTATACTACTTTCGTCGATATAAGTAGCACGCACCTCAGAATGAATGTTTTATGCGAATTCGAACTCATCAATTGTTTATATTTGGACAGAATTGTGATCTCAAAGCATTCCGTTTTAAATAGCAACTAATTATTCCCTGAGTTACTCTAGTTAGATAATCATTGAAATGGGAAACAACACATCAATTCTCACTGTAAATGACTTTTGTAAATAAAATTGTTGCAAATTCATTTAAGCTACATCATCATTGACAACCTGGAACCACTGGACGGCCGTTTCGTCCTATTGTAGGACTTCTCAATGGTAGTGCGCATCAACGATCCCACCTCACGAGATTCGAACACAGTACCTATCAGTCTTGAAACGGCTGTCCAATTCTTCCAGGTTGTCGATGGTGGTTTAACTTCAATTGACTCGTGATGTCATCTAATAAAATTACTATAATATCCACAAAAAAACCATTCTGGTATTAAGCGTTTTTGTTGATTTCATACTTGTCTCTCTAACATATGAAACTTCTGTATTTTCTTGTTGTTTAGAAGAACCACAAATAATTGAACAACCAAATATTGATAATGTATTAAATCCATCTTTTAATTCAATTCATAAACCATATCTTCGTTGTGTTGCTTATGGTAAACCTGCACCACAAATTAATTGGTTTCATGATAATTCCATTATTCGTACAACATCAACTACTATGAATTCTATTACGTTAGGAACCTTAAATGATGTAAGTTCATATTCATGAATGTTTTTTTTTTCTTTAAAATTGATAAGTGTTGAGTTTAATTGAAGTCAGATAGTTGATTCTGTAATATAGGGATGACGGCGTGCTTGAACATCTGGGCTACCTGTTCCTGTCATCTAGATGTTTCAATAAGTTATCTAATTTATTATAAGAAGGGATTTTTTGTGGAGATTTAGTATTTTCATAGTTGAAAGCGTGAGTCAATCGAAGCAATACTATCAGGGAAATACCTGAAAGCACTAGACGGACGTTTCGTCCTATTGTGGGACTCTTCAGTAGTGCACATCCAAGACCTCGCCTCGCGAGATTCGTACTCACGATCTATCAGTCTCTCGTCAGAGCAGTGACCAGTGGAGTCCAAACCACGTCTGTTGTGATATGTAAACTCACTGAAGACAACTGGTGAACGGTTGCTCAACCTCGTGGATTTTTGAAGTAAGACATTAACACCATGGGATGCTGGCTCAATGGTTTATCGGTTAAGTGCTCTGGTATGAAACTGATAGGTCCTAAGTTCGAATTTCGCTTGGCGGGGTCGTGGATGCGCACTACTGAGGTGTCCCACAGTAGGAAGAAACGGCCGTCCAGTGTTTCCAGGTTTTGCCTGGTAGTATAGCTTCAATTGACTCACACTTTCAATTATCTCATTTTGTTTGTTTTAATACATAATTATGACTATTAGTCTCATAACGTATTCAGGTGCGTTTCTGAAAAGTGTAGAACAATTCGTTGTACAAGTTACTAAACAGCTCAATGAAAAACATCTTGGTTGCTAGGAACATGCAGCAAAAAGAATGTACACTATTCTGATATCGATTTTTGGACTGTTATCATCTAATTGACGATCACTCAATATTTATCATCAGGATCGACTAAGAAGTAAGAAAAAGTAACTTGTTGAAATACACTGAGTTGAGAATTTGATATCGTGCCAAAAATATAATACTGAATAAAGTTAACAACAATAATAATGTAATAGTTTGGTGCCCGAATAGCCGAGTAGTTAAGGCGTTAGACTTGAAATCCAATGGGATTTCACCGGGCAGGTTTTCTAGATAATTTGGCTACATTCTGTGATGAAATGTTTATTTTGTTTGAAATGACACTTTAAAATATACAATTACCTAGATTTCTTATACTCCAAAGAAGCGACTTATATTGAGTTAGGGAACATCAGAAAAGTCAATACATTACTTTTATAATTAAATTACTAATATCTCCACAAAAGCCGTCTTCTGATGATAAACTTCGTGCTCACTAATGAATGACTTCAAGAGGTATTCCCTGTAGTTGTAATGAGAAGCCGTGACCAATGGGGTTCAACTAGATCTGTTGTGAGTTAGTAACAGACAATGGTGGACGGTAGAGCAATTTCATGCCGACCAGTTCAGTGGTCTAGAGGTTGAGCACTTGCGCGCGAGACCGATGGGTCGTGGGTTCGAATCGTGGATTGTGGATGAGCATCACTCCGGAGTTTCATAGTACGGCGAAACGGCCGTTCAATGATTCCCGGGTTTCCATGGAGGTCTACCTTCAACTGACTTATGATATCAACTATTAAATAAAAAAAAATCTCCACAAAAACTCTCTTTTGATATTAAATTATTTGTTTAACATTGCAAATTACCCATTTGATTCCCCTTTTTCCCTTTATAGATTCATTGTTCATGGAGAAAAATTTTAACTACAATTAAATGTATTGAATTTGATACTGGTTCATATACATGGGAAACAACAAGTCAATTAATATGGGGCTATAATCAATCATTTAATCATAATTTATATACTGAATGTCATTCATATCATTTAATGAATGAAGGAAGTTATACATGTCAAGCAATCAATAATTTCGGGTATGATTATTCCAACCCGGTACATATAATATTAAAATGTATGTGAAAACAACTTTAATGAAGGGGTTTGTTTCTTTATTATATATATTTTGAATTTTATGTTTTCTGTGAACTTCTTCGACACTATAGAGCCACTCAGAAGATTGTGAACATTATCCAGAACTCATACAACGGACTACAGTGCACAGTCGTGCATGGAGGATAGCTGACAGATGCATTTCCAGCAAGGACTGTAGTCAGAGAAGGCTGTCTACTCTCCCCCTTTCCTCTTTCTTCTGGTGATTGACTGGATTATGAAGACTTCGACTTCTGAGGGAATGCACGGAATAAGTATGACATTTCAGAACCGATTAAACGATTCGGATTTCGCAGATGACCTAGACCTCCTATCTCATTCACATGAACAAATACCGAGGAAGACAACAAATGTAGCAGCAGTCTCTGAATCGATAGGACTCATCGTGCACAAAGGAAAAAGCAAGATTCTCAAATACAACATGGAGAACACTAATCCAATCACAGTTGATGGAGGAACTCTGGAAGACGTGGAAACATTCACGTATCTGGGAAGCATCATTGATAAAGAAGCATAATCGGATGCAGATTTACAGGCTAGGATTAGCAAATTGATGGTCGTCTTCCTAAAGTTGAAGTACACATAGAACTCAAAAAAATTGTTAACCAATGTCAAATCAAGAGTCTTTATAGCGAATGTCAGGTCAGTTCTACTGTATGGAGCTGAAACTTAGACAACTACAACTCTTATCATCAAGAGTGTACAAGTATTTATAAACGGTTGTTTAAGCAAAATACTCAACATTCACTAGCCGGATACTATCAGTAACAACGTTTTATGGGAGGGGCTAAACCAACTTCCAGCTGAAGAGGAAATTAGGAAAAGACGTTGGAAGTGTATAGGACATGCATTGAGGAAATCACCAAACTGAATCATGAGGCAAGCGCTAACTTGGAATCAGGAAGGGAATCGGAAAAGCGGAAGGCCAAAGAACACATTACACCGGGAAACAGAAGCAAATATGAAAAGGATGAATGTTAACTGGAAATGACTGGAAAGGATTGTCCATGACAGGGTTTAATGGAAAATTCTGATGGGGAGCCTATGCTCCTCCATGAGGGGTAACAGGCATAAGTAAGTAAGGAAGTGAACTGGTTTGATTTGTAATATATAATTTCTAAGAAAAAATTTCTTAGATTTGTACAAATAATCAAAAGTATCAATGTTTATCTAGATATTAATAATATTCAGTTGTTGTGATGTAATGCGAAATGGCTGAAATTTGCAAATGTAAGAAGTATGTAATATCAACTAAGTACTCCGATATGAAGTCTTAAAACTCCTCCTGGATCCCCTCTGAGTTTCCTGTCGATCTCAAGCTCGGATAAAGGAAAAGGGTTAGGTATGGGGTTAGCAACCCCATCCCGTAGAAAACTAATTCGCTTGAAGAAAACGATAACTAGAAAAAAAAGAAGCCTTAAAGTGTTTTATCCTTTATCCAGTTGAAGAAATATGATACTAAAGACTATCGTACTGAGCTGAAACAGTATTCCAATAATTCCCGATCTTCAATTATTGTCTCGTTAAACCTGTAGCGAAGTGTGATTTGTCTAAATTTCCTAAACTGTATCAACTAACATTGTAAACCTACAGATCCCGATAGGTTAGCAGATAAGATAAACAGTGTATCTATTACTCAAACCTGATCTTTTTCTATTATTCAATAAATTACTATTCAAGTTAGTGAATCAGTATACTTTAATTTGTAATCAATCACACAACATGAATATATTGTAGAAGTTATTATACATAGAGCCGCATAGCAACAGATTTTATTACTAATAATAACATGTATATATATTGTAAAAGTAATAATTGACGGGGATGGGATTGGAACCCAAGCGAGGAAACCCCAATAGATTAGCAGTCCACTCTGCCACCCCGTAAAAGTTCATGTCAATTTACCAGCATCGTCAAATTGATATAGATAGTAATATTGAATGTATTAGACAGATATATGATATTAAGTTGTTTAAAGTGTTCTAGTTCAAACATTGTTCAAGATACATATTTTGCACATGTATCACAACAATGAAAAGCATAAACGAAGAATGTTCTACTCATTCTAAATGGTCATTCTGTGGTATGGGTTACTTATTTCTACATAAATAGTATATGGTGATGGTTAGGCTGAGAATATATTTCATCGAAAGATCGATAAGGAAAAAAACCGGGAACGGAACGCAAAGACAATGGACTGATACTTGCAAAAGGAACAGATAAGTTTGATGCGTTGGATTGTTATTTTGCAAATTCAATGTTTACTGTATGGTTGTCAGATTTTAGTGAAATATTCTGTAATTTTGTGCTTAAATACATTCGATTGTCCCCATTTGTGTACTTGTTCACTACAATTCAACTGATGTACGAAAGGTGTATCTAAGGTCATTTCTCATGTCATAACGGATCATCTACAACTTGAGAATATAAAACGGAAACTGAGAGCATAGAATAACTAAGGCAATACTTACTATGACAGATCAGTTAGGTCAACTATAATAAATGTGTCAGGCTATTTTATCATATGCCATTTGATTTAGTTATCAGAATCAGTGTCAGTGTAAATTATCATTAGATGGGGAAGTTTAATGAGTAGGTTGAGTAATAAAATGCATTAACAACTTAGATTTTCTTTAATCTCACTTATTGAATGGGGTATACTAATAGGAGTAAGCGCATTTCAGGTTATTTTGAGAGGAGCGGTAGTCATAGATGCAGTGAACAAAGGATGGGAGTGATTTTATCTCAAGGTGAGATTGTGGTAAGCCATTCCAGAATCTAAATAATAATTACTGGTAAGGTAATTCATATGGTTCCAGGACAGAATGGGTTGGAGAAAGCTGGTCGATGGCCTTTGCTCCATTGGGAGTAACAGGCGTTAGTAAGTAAGTAAGTAATTCATATGGTGAGATAATTTAAAATGGGATTGCTTCATGAATAACGGAGAGTTAAGGTTACTGTAACTAAGTGTTTCTGTATACTGAATTGCTTTATTGAATGTGAGTAATAGTTAATTACATATTTTAAAACAAGAATCACAAAGTAGTTATAGACAGTCATAACAGGGACGTCGATGGCCTTTTTGGAAGATTATCTGTTGAACAACTAGTGATAAACTTTATTGTTAATCAAGTGGCTGGATATTTCTAATTTGCTTTCATGTATAGAATTGATACAACCAATTTATATTCCTTCATATAAAACAAACGATTCAATAAGGAGAAAGGACAGCTAGAAAGTTACTTACATTCATTACTGACTCTTTTTCTATAAAGAATGAAATTTAAGTATATTACATATGGACTTATAATTTTTGATACAATCAATCCTAAGAACCCATCGTTATACATTGTTGCTGAACGGATTCCAGCTTTAAATTCGATTAGTATTGTTTATTTGAATCTTCCCATTGATGTTTAGGACTGCAATTGGTCAGTCTCTAATTGGTGTATGTGCATAATGTCCGTATTGCCTTGATATAGCCTTAATTCACAAACATTGTAAGCAAAGATGGATAGTTGCCAGTAGTGAAATCCAGTTTGACGAGCGTTTCGTCCTATTTTGGACTCGTCAGTTGGATGTGCCTGCATCCAGCCACTATCCATCTTTGGATTCTAACTTTAATTTACACTTTATGAGATCAATTTTAAGAATGAGTCTACAGTTTTCTTAAAGTAATCGAACACATGCTTTATAGCGTGAATTACGTGACTTGTTGTTTTAGATATATTGTAGTGAACGAGAACACAAGTTAGGACCACGGAATATATTTAAACACAATGAACGTCTTAGTAAAATCTAAGTACCATACAGTAAATTCATCATCTGCAAACTATCCATCAATTGTCTTATACTTCATTATTCCTTTACTATCACACCAACCATACTTTGTTCTCATTCTCATTTTTTTACGAACTTCTTAACATTCTGCCACTGGACAAGTCATTTTCTATTGATGATACATACTACTTATATCTGTCGACATCAATAACATACATCAGAATACTTTAAAGGCATATTCATATTATTCTTTCTATTCCTTATCCCTTATTCTCTATTATTCCATTCAAGAGTACAGTAGTTAGTTTCTAAGATGAAAAAGAAAAAAATAATCATTATTCATCGTTGAATAGAAACTATATATATATATATATATGAAATTGTTTTACATTTAAACCGTTCATTAATCATTAATATATTAAGGAACATGAATGAGCAACAACAAAAAAAAAAGAAAAGTCCATTTAGCAACTAAATGACTCTAAAATTACAAAAAAAAAAATTCAAAAAAAAAACGATCGATTTATTAATAATTTACCTAAATGTCATATAGTTACTAAAAATTTCCTTTTTTGAACTCACAATTAGTATGTATATATAAATATAGATAGATAGAGATGTTTAGTATTTCTAATGTCTAAGACTATTTTCATTAATATTCATTTATGTTTAAGCAGTCAGGATGACCGAGTGGGCCAAGGCGATGCGTTCAGTTTGCAGTCCACTCTGTGAGCGTGGGTTCGAATCCCACTCCTGACACTAGACTTATGTTTATTGTGATTATGAGAAGAGAGTTTTGTGGAGATTCCAGTATATTCATCGTTGAATGCATGAGTTCATTGAAGCTAGACCACTATCGAAAACCTGGAAGCACTAGAAGGCTGTTTCCTTCATTATTATTCTTTTTTCAGATTTTATTATGAATTGTTTAGTTCATCTACTTAGAATATATATTAGTTTCCTTGATTAATATTCGATGAGACTAGAATTCATAGACGACATTTGAACGACCCTAAGGTGTTTTTGAGGATGTCCATCTAATAACTAGGACCAAATTAGGTTTAGAAACTTGTCTGAGGAGTTAGAATTATAAGGTTAACAATTACATTCAGGGTTTTCATCACGAACTGACATTAGCTATAATGCCAAAACTCAATTTATCCGAATGGATGAATAAATTTCGCACAGAAATCTGACACCTGCTATATCTGATTGCTTATTTACTTAATCTTGTTACTCCCAGTAGAGCATAGACCACTGACCAGCATTCTCTAACACACTCTGTCCTGGACATTCTTTTCTACTTCTATCCAATTTTTGTTCATCCTTCTAATAACTGTTTCTATTTCTCGTTGTGATGTGTTCTTTGGTCTTTCTCTTCTCCTTTGACCTTGAGGATTTCATGTTAGGGCTTGTTTTGTGACGGAGTTGGATGGTTTCTTCAATGTGTGTCCTATCTGCTTCCAGCGCTTCTTTCTGACTTCTTCCTCTACTGGGATCTGTTTTGTTCTCTCCCACATTAAGTTGTTGCTGATAGTGTCTGGTGAACGGATCCGAAGTATTTTGTGTAGACAACTGTTAATAAACACTTGTATCTTCCTAATGATGATCTGTTCGTCCATTAATTATTATATTAATAATATAACATAATATTCTAACAAAACAGTTTAGAAGCAACGTATTTTCAAATAATACATACTACATTCTTTTCTGTATCAAAATTTTTCGGTCACTATCGCAACTCTCTTACAACCAATTTCGATCATGGTTAAACTTTGGCTACCCTTTTATTAATTTATTTAAAAGACAGTCATGTTTGAAAAGTAACAATTCACATATTTCTTTGTACTATTATGATCACTATCACAGGACAAACTTTGGCTAAAGTGTTAATTGCTCTTCCCCATATTTTTCTGTACTTGAATACCATTAATAACATTTGCATTGCCCTAGATACGCCTTATTCACATACATACATTCGCCTGTTTCCTTCGAATTCGTTCAATATGCTTGTAAATTTTTCATCCATTTTATCTACTAATAAACTTCAGTCACCGCTTCTGATTTCAAACACCAATGGCAATTTACATAATAACTATTGTCAAAGTGATTAATTAACAAAGTTAAGCCAATATACCTCTAAACAAACATCATTTCTAAAGTTATCTTCAGTATATAATTTATTTTTTCTGTTTTAAAATAATACAACAATAATAGGTCATTGCACAAGTAATTAGCTAACAGGAATCAATAGCTGAATGAATAGGGCGATGACGTTCGAATTGAACTATACTAAATTCAAGTCCTAGATGTGAATATCAACATGTTTGAGTTGCCGGTACATCCATCTGACAAGTCCCAAATAAGATGAAATGACACCCATCAAACTATATTCCACTGTTAGTCACTATCCCCCCTTTGCTTAAAATAGTTCATTTTCGATTATGTAATTGTTTTTCTTTTTCTATTTTTTTTTTCTTCTATCACTTAGATCCACCAACTTTATTACATCAATCTATAATAAAACAAACAATCAATACTAAAAAAAATTCACAAAAATCAATAAATTTTTTTTCAAATTCAATAATCAATAAATTAACTTGTATATTTAAATCATATCCAATACCTAAACAAATTATATGGTATTATATTAATACATATCAATATTATAATACTATTTATAATAATTATTTAAGTAATATATCATTATTTATAAAACAAAAATTATGTAATCAACATGTATTACATCATCAATTTATCAAGATACTATCAATTTATAATAAAACTAATAATCGATTTAGTAACCATGGCAACAATAAAACAAATGATAATTATTATATTCAATTACTAACTGGTTATAAAGCTAAATTAGCTTTATTAGATTATATCAATATTAATATGACATATTATAATTCATTATATTTAACACATTTAATAATTAATCAATTAAAATCAATAAAATTTGGTATTTATTTAACATTAATTATTAATGATGAAGGTTGTCAACAATGTATTATATTATTACAAAATTATAGTAAGTAAATGGTTTGTTTACTCTGGGGTTTTTTTGGGGGTGGGGTGGGGTGGGGATTTGTTTCCTTGGTAAAATTTCTATTATCAAAAAGGGGTTGTTTTGGATAGTATAGTAATTTTAATAGTTGAGATCATCATGAAAAAGCTGGGAGCATTAGACGACCGTTTCGTCCTATTGTGGGACTCCTCAGTCGTTGTACACATCCACAATCTCGCCTCACAAGATTTGAACCTAGGACCTACTAGTTTCGCGAGATACTTAGTAACTTTGGAAATAATGACATCACAAAGAATTCTCTATATCTTCGATATCCAATGTTCAGACAAAATCCTATTTCATTAGAAGATATAAGAATTTTAATAAAAGTCAAGTCGAATAACTCTACATCATAGGTACATACAAAGTTTGATAATCTAGGAAACCAGAAGAACTAATTAAATAGCTGCAGAAATGACGAGATAACATGGCATTGTACGATATTCGTGAAACCCATTAGACAGCGGCTTGGCAGAAATGGTTAGATGATGTTGTATTCTGGTCATGAAGAAAATACATCGAACACACAAGCAGTTGCATTAAAGCTGTCCAAAGAAACACAAAAAACACCTATATAATAGAATCTAATGGATCATCAAAGCATTGTTTATGGTCTACAACTCCGTACGAGATGGATGAAACGATGATGAAAAATGTTGCACGGCCTTTTTATTCTAGTATGCAACTCTTCAGCAATGCGCATCGATGATCACGCACATAAGATTCAAATCCAGGATCTTCGGTCTGATGCATGAACGCTTAACCTCTAGACCTCACTGAGTCAACATCCGACGGTTTGAGTGTCTAGATTTAATCAGTCCACAATACTGCACGATCATCATCTATTATCTTCAGTGGTTAACCACCTCACACCCGACACAGATAAGAATCCAATGATCATTGCTTCTCATTAGAATTCTTAGAAGTTGTTCACTAGTTCGTACATGATAATTATCCGTAAAGGATTGTGCTTCCAGGTTTATCATAATGGTCTAACATTAATCAGTTTATAATCTCAATTGAAACTCAACAATCTCTACAATCCTATACTAATCTTTAAAATTTTTATTTTGGGTCAGTGAATATAAGTGATATTACAAGTATAATTTCCATATAAATTCAACCTTAGATGAATACTGATTTTTTTTATGAAGATTTTTAAAAATAATCCCCACTTACATTGGATTAGAAATGTCTACTATTGTCTAGTTTGATCTAGTTTTTATACCCTCAAATACTACTGAAATCAAAGTATCATAATAAGTAGTTATTTTCAGAACCAATCAACAGTGAGCATCCACGATCTCGTCTCACAAGATTCCAACCTAGGACCTAACATTTTCGCGTGCGAGCGTTTAACCTCTAGACTACTGTGCCTGCATCCAACGGTGTTGATGTCTAACTTCAACCAATCCACGAAATTAAGTAACCATTCACCAGTGTCTTCAGTGAATTGATATCTCCCAACAGACCTGATTGAACTACACGACCGTCTAGTGCTTCCAAGTTTTCCATCGTGGTCCAGCTTTAATTGACTATAGAAAATTACTGAAATCTCCACAGAACCCTCTTCTATTTATAAACCAATCAAGTTAAGATTGATTTTCAGCAGATGATTTGTTTTGTTTTATTTTGTTTTACGATATAGGTACACCTGAAACTCCAAAAGATATTGAAATCAAAGAAATTACATGGAATAAATTAACCCTCAGTTGGATTCCTGGATTTGATGGGGGTTATGAACAAACTATTGTTATTGAATTTTTAAAAGTTTTTAATAAAGATCAATTAACTCTAGTTAATAATCTGCCGAAATCACTGTTTATCAATCATGTACCAAGATTACCAATCTATCAACAATGTCAAATATCAGGTTTGTATATTCTGTTTTACCGATTAACCGACTCATTTCTGTTTTCCTATAGAGTACATAGTTTATTTAATCAGTCTATCTTGATGGAGTTTTGTTCTTTGAGCAGGATGGTTTAGTCGTTTAGCTTTCATCCTCCATCTGAAAGATATCATCAACACAGACTTCGAGTAGAAGTTTATCAATTTATCGCCTAGAAATGTTCTGTTTAAATCAGACATAAAATGCCTGACATATGTAAAGAACACCTTCCTTTTCTTACTAGACAACAAACGATAAATTACTCACTCGCAATATTGTAATTTCGCATAGTTACTACTTCAATAAAATTATCCACTTTCTTAAACCTTCATTTTGATCGACTTATCACAAGAATGGCGTCGTTTATTCAATATCTAATGATAGTTGATGAACAGAATTCTATCAGTACTAAAGATCACACAAAATTTTGTTGCTTACTTGTTAATCAGCGTAAAGAAGTTTGTAAGCCGAAAGGCGATTTACGATATGATTAGCTAAGAGGTAACACTAAGTGACAATAGTTTTAATTTCTTCGAAAGTATAGTTTTCTTGAAGAATACAGATTCTCTTTATTGATCATTTGTCAAACTCATTAAGAGGACCTAGATATCGTACACCGTTTTCTTCCTTACCTTATTGTCAACCTTTCGATAAATACTCGTCATACTTCAACTGAGTTTAAAAGTACTTCCTATCGGATGATTTCAGATTCTTTTGAATCAGTGATATATATGTCCTACATTAATATGAATCTACATCTTGAATTCAATGAATAGATCGGTTAAGACATCTTGACACCGACTGAATGTGTACTTTACCAAATTACATGTTTATTTATGTGTGAACATACCTTTGCTGAAATATCATTTGAATCATGCTTACAATCTAATTTTTTTTCATTGTTTATCAGGTCTGACACCGAATACCGTCTACACATTTGTAATTTATGGAAAAAATTATTTGGGACATGGAAAACTATCTAAAGAATATACAATTACTACTAAAGGTGGATTATTTTCTTTTACAAAGGTTGACTAATAAATTGAATTATTTAATTTTTCATTACAACCAAGTAGTTGATAGAAAAAGATGGATAGTGTCTAGCAGTAGAATACAGTTTGATGCGCATTTCGTTTTTATTCGGGACTCGTCAGTTGGATGTACCTGTATTTCAGAGTTGTTGCTCACTCTTGAACTCGAACCCAGTTCCTTTTGCTTCAAACGTCACTACGTTATCCACTTACCTACAGATTCCTGATAGTCCTGATATCCCATCGCACAAGCAGGTAGTTATCAGGACTCAGTAGCTAAGTGGATCACGCGATGACGTTTGAAGTGAAGTGTACTGGATTCGAATCTCAGAGTGGACATCGACTCTTAAATGCAGATACATCCACCTGACGAGTCCCAAATAGGATGAATCGCGCACCAAACTGTATTGCACTGCTAGCCACTATCCATCTTAATTTATAAAGCTTGTGACTTAAGGCAATATCGATTCCGTCGGCTCAGGATGCACATATGCCAACAAGAGACTGATGAATGGCAGTCCTAAATAACAATAGTAAGATACAAGTAAACAACACCAAGTGAATTTAGGTAGTTGATAAAGTTTACAATTTGTTTTTGTTGCACTTAATCTATTTCGAGATTTTGTCAATTCTATCACTGAATTGTCTTGGTTAGTCTGCAATAACACCAGGAAGTATCAAACGACTGTTTTGCTTTAGTTCCCATAGTTTATAGAATCGAAAAAAATATTTTTGTTAACTCAATTCAGATTATACTACAGTTGTGGTAAATCGATGGGGCGTGGTTATAAATTTCTATTTATTTATTTATTTAAACACATATATATTGGTACAAAAGGGCACCAGATAAATATGCTCCACACAAAATAATGAAAGTAAGAAGAGAAGGGATGAAAAGATAAGGCGGACTAAAATGTACAACCAGAAGACTCTTTCAGTTAAGAAAGTTATAGCCACTCTTTATGAAGAAAGTAAAAGGTTACTACAGGATCGCCACTGGCATCTATTCTGAGCCATATCTGATAACGTCTCTAGCCACTGTGTTACAACATCTCTAGGACCCCAGCCAGGGAGTCGTGAAGGATCAACAGAAGCTAGCCTTTTGCAGCTTTCTTTCATGCCACGACACCATATCATACACTGACCTCCTCTCCGCTTTTTCCAACCAGTCCCAGGGTCGGCAAATAATGCACAACGTGGAAGTCTCTGGGACGACATTCGTAAAACATGTCCAAGCCATCGAAGTCGGTGTTTCAAGATGGTGACACCAATTGAATTATCGTCTCTGCACCCGAACACACGATGCCGAACCTCTGCATTACTAACATGGTGTAGCCACTGAATGTCAGCAATCCTTCAGAGACAACGATGATCGAACACAGAGAGTCGTCTAACATCCTCAACTCGGAGAGGCCAGGTTTCACAAGCATAGAGCAAAACTGCTCTCACCGACGCGTTGTAGATCCGACCTTTTACAGCCAGACTAACATCACGAAGGCGCCAAAGATGGCCCAGATTGGCATAAGCCGCTCTGGCTTTCATTATACGTGCGTCAATCTCATCACTCACGCCACTACCAGCACTTATGCAGCTACCTAGATACACGAACTTCTCAACTACTTCAATCTACTCACCATCCATGGTGAGTACAGGATTAGAATCCTGCCAGTCTTGTAGGAGTACTTTGCACTTGGAGGGTGCAAAGCACATGCCGTACCTGCGGACACTGATTGCCAACTGATTAAGTGCTGATTGCATGCCTTGGGCATTATCGCACAGTAAGACAATATCATCCGCACACTCGAAGTCGAGAAGTCGTTCTCCAGGCAACACATCCACACCGCTATTACACACATCCAACAGGGCTGTTTCCAGGATGTCATCAATGGCAAGGTTGAAGAGGAGTGGTGGGATCGGGCAACCCTGCCTGACCCCACTGCTCGAATGGAACAAGGGAGAAAGGTGGTTGTATGCCCTCACTCTGCCTGAGGTGTTCGTATACAGGGCCTTTAAGATGTTAATGAACTTCTCAGGCACACCCTTCTTCAATAGACAATCCCAGAGAACAGTCCTGTCCAACGAATCGAAGGCAGCCATGATATCAAGAAACATTACGATTGTTGGCCTGCGATAAGTATGACGGTGTTCTAACATTTGGCGGAGGGTGAAGATGTGATCAATGCATCCTCGACCAGAACGAAAACCAGCCTGCTCCTCGCGAGTCAATCGTTCTCGGGTTTTAAACAACCTACGAAGAATGACAGAAGCCAATAGTTTGGACGCAAACGGAAGTAGACTTATCTCCCGATAGTTATTACAGGAACAACGTGAACCCTTTTTAAAGATAGAGACGACTATTGACTCATTCCATGATGTTGGAACACTTTGTATCTGAATTATGCTCAACCATACTACACCTTTACCGACAGTATTAACTAGTGTTGGAGACGACTGGAAGACATCATGAGCCAGCCAGACTAAAAAGTTACTACCGTCCACAAGAACACTGACTATTGTACTGATTCATGTTGACGAATCCAAATGGTATTGTTGAAGTACAGAAAAGATTTATGATTAATATTTGAAGACGTTGGATAGCATGATTCATAATTAATTTCTATGACTCAATCACATTTATTCATTGATTTCGTATAGATCTCGAATTTTAGAATCATTCCATATTTTTTGTTTTGTTTCTGTTAGAATAATTTCGATGACTGATCATGTACTTATTGTAACAGATAACAGATAAACATTATGTTATAAACGTAAAAGAGAGAGAGAGAGGATGCTGGTTTTAACTTTAGGGGTTTCTGGTTATAACAGTCCTTTTACTTCTTACACGTATGTGGGACGTTAATTTATCTTAGACGAATATCTACACTAAATTCCCACCCAGTGTCTATTCTACAGGACTTCAACAGAACTCAGATCAAGAACACCAGATTAGCCTGACTATGACGTCAATATATTTCCACACGAAAATCCGACACAAAGAACAGTTAATCAACAAGTGTCCATCAACAAGGAACAGTCAAGAAGTCAATACATAATAAGGATAGGGAAATATATATAACACATAACACCTGTCATCCCCTCTAATGTCTGACTCATTGAGACAACCAATCATTGACATTCTCGCCCACACATCACCTCCCTCGCGAAGTTTGATCGTATGATTTCACTTTAGGGTCTATTTCAAAAAATTTCGTTTGTTTCCGTTTCCTGAATGACCTTCGTTTAACTTCTGATTCTAGATCACTTTTTCTCATTTCAACTTGTGGTGGTGGTGGTGGAATATCAAATGTATCACATAATACTTCCATTGGTAATGGTTTGAGTTTAGATGACTCATAAACACATTTTCTATCTCGCAGTTGATTTACATGTCTAATAATTAGTGTATTTTCGACCATCACTTCATATAATACAGTACCACGTCGTTTTTTTATAAACCCAAATATCCATTTTGGCTTGCCAGGCCGGAAATCCCGTGCATAGACTGAGTCACCTACTTTGAATTCTCGAATTTTCAGGCAATTCCTTTTGTTATTTTTTTGTAGTCCACTGATTCTGTCTTTCGGGTTCAAAACATCAAAAAATGTTCTAATCGGTCGGCCAAACATTATTTCTGCTGGAGATTTCCCATCTTGACAGTTTGGACTTGGCGTAATTCTATAAGAAATGAGAAATTGTTGCAGAGCCTCTTCTACGTTGCCTTCTTCTCCCATCTTTAAGAGAGCTCGTTTAAGAATATCAACAAATTTCTCTGCCTGCCCGTTCGACTTAGGGTGATACGGTGGAGTTCTAACGTGCTCGATTCCATTCTGTTTACAGAACTCCGCAAACTCTAACGACGTGAACTGCGTCCCGTTATCTGAAACCAAAACATTAGGTGTACCAAACCTACCAAATAGTTGTCTCAGATGTAGCAGTGTTTCAGACGTAGATGGTCTTCGTACCACATAAATTTCAGGCCATTTTGAGTATGAATCAACCACCACCAAAAAATATTGTCCACTTATTGGTCCAGCATAATCAACATGTAGTCGGACCCAAGGCTTTGTCGTTTCAGGCCATGACTGGGATTCTGCTTTCGGCACATCCAACGGTAAATCCCACAAACCAAATTTATCAATCCAATCAATACCTAATAGATTGGTATTACAGTTCCCAGAGACATAACATTTCCCGGTCATAGTCTTTTCACCAAACGTGAGAGGTAGCTGTATTACTCCAAGAAGAGTAATATTAGTTCCTGACGCACTCTTAGCATTATGACATGTAGGTTGATATCGGGGTCGACCAATTTTAATCCAAGTTTCTCTAGAAATTAATGTTATCTCAGACCCAGTATCGACTTGTAGTTTGACCGGTTTGCCATCGAAAAAAATGGATACATACTTCCTTTCGGATAAGAATTGGTCACTTTTTGTGGCCAGAACATTTGAGTTATGCGGTATTGATTTTGAAGTCTGCATCTTATTTCGTTTACGGAACTTATGCTTACGGTCAGGAACCTTCGGCCTACTTTTACAACATACTTGAGCATGACCATATTTACCAAATTGAAAGCATACTCGTTTTTTAAAGTAACAAGCATTGGCAGAATGAGACTTACCACATCGCCAGCAAGACGTCTTGTGTTTCACTTGATTTGGGATTTTCTGGGAGTTCGAATCTTTATTTCCATTAAAAGATTTACGTAAAGCATTAATTCCCACGTGTTCACTGTTCCTTTCTACGAGATTCATGTCATGCTTCAAATTAATCATTCTTTGACACTCTTCAGATACTGATTGTAGACTGATATTAGGATCTTGTTCGATTCTCGCTAGAATCCATGTTCTAATATCTGCATCTACTGGAGATTGTAATCCACATACAAAAATAAGACACTTGAACTGATCTGAGGACATTTCCTGTAGTCGGAACCGCTCACATTCCCGGTTCACGATACTTGCATACGTTCCGTAATCGTCCTGTACTTTCTTTACAAGTTGAAGACACTGGTATCTAGTGTGAAAAATTGATGACCGTCCACCAAATATACGAGTCAGGCATTCAACTGTTTCTTTGAACGTTATGTCGGATGGCTTCTTTGGGAGGATAAAATTACAGAATTTTTCATGTTCGGACACTTCGAGCTTTCGTAATAATAATCTCAATTTCGAACTTTCGTCCCACTCTTTACATTCATTAATAAATAAATCCTCATGGCGTTTAAACCACGCCTCAAAAGTAACTCCACTTTCTGGATCAAATCTAAATTCAGTTATTGAATTTGCAATAGAATCCGGAGTCATAGTGGAATTAGACACATCAGTTCTTGAGGATATCGACATATTTTTGATTAATAATTCGATTAAAGAATTTTGCTGTTGCAACAAGGTTTTCAGATCATCCATTTTTGTTACAAAATTCACTTTAATTGAATATGTAAGCGTAGATCCGTTTTAATCACCGTCGCCAATGTTATATACGTATGTATGCCGTCGCCAATGTTATAAACGTAAGTATGCCGTCGCCAATGTTATAAACTTAGAGTATGCAGTCGCTAATTGTTATAAACGTAGAGAGAGAGAGAGAGAGGATGCTGGTTTTAACTTTAGGGGTTTCTGGTTATAACAGTCCTTTTACTTCTTACACGTATGTGGGACGTTAATTTATCTTAGACGAATATCTACACTAGATTCCCACCCAGTGTCTATTCTACAGGACTTCAACAGAACTCAGATCAAGAACACCAGATTAGCCTGACTATGACGTCAATATATTTCCACACGAAAATCCGACACAAAGAACAGTTAATCAATAAGTGTCCATCAACAAGGAACAGTCAAGAAGTCAATACATAATAAGGATAGGGAAATATATATATAACACATAACACCTGTCATCCCCTCTAATGTCTGACTCATTGAGACAACCAATCATTGACATTCTCGCCCACACATCACATTAGATCTTTTATTTCTTGGAACATATAAATATTGGTATAAAGTAGGCGCCGAATACATACGTGCTATACAGGTCACTTGATTTTTGTGTGCGAGCTGAGATACTACCCGGGTTCTCAGATTCAAGTGGATGGTTTTCTTAGGGGGCCATACAAAGCGCCTTCAACTTAAAGATCTAATTCACAAGGTATAGGAACAACGTATGGAGATGCAGCCAAATGGTAGCTAGTGACCAACGAATGGTTCAAACATCATTTGTTAATTTAGGATCCTGAAGCCCTTGTGCAACATTGGTTTGGAATGAGGGTTTTCTAGCTCTAATAATTGAATCCTCCATATCCACAAACCCGGTTGAAGCGTCGGACAATCCCTTTTCGTTTACTCAATTTTGTAAACAACACTCATGGTACGAGAAATTAGTGAGTAGCACTTCATTGTTATTGACTATATATACATGACTATGTGATGTAATATAATAACTTAAACTAACGCTAATATCTAACAAGTATATCTTCCAGAAGGTGTTTTGTGGAGATTACAGTATTTTCATTGTCAATTGAAGATAGACCACCATGGAAAACCTGGAAGCACTGGACGGTTGTTTCGTCCTATTATGGGACTCCTCAACAGTGCGCATCCACAATCCCTTCTGATCTTTAATCATATGCTCACTAGTGACTGACTTCAAGAGATATTTCCTGGAGTTCTAGCGCGAAGCAGTGACTAGTGGAGTTCAACCAAGTCTGTTTCAGAGATATCAACTCACTGAAGACAATTGGTGAACGATTGGTCAAACATAGTGAATTGATTGAAATTAAACATTGACACTGTTGGATGCCGGCTAAATGGTCTATCGGTTAAGTGCTCTGGCGCGAGACTGATAGGTCCTGTATTTGAATCTCGCGAGATGGGATCGTGGATGCGCACTGCCACTGAGGAGTCTCACAATAGGGCGAAACGGCCTTCCTGTGCTTCCAGGTATTCCTTGGTGGTCTATCTTCAGTTGACTATGAAAAATATTTAACGAATTACTTTATCATTATTCTTTATTAGCTACATTATAAGTCATTCTAAAGGTGTGTGTGTGTTTTTGTTACTAACACCCAAGAAGTAAAAGATTTCAAATCTTCCAAAATTGATAGACTTATTTATCAGTGTCATATGAGCATCAAATGAAAAATTATTATTATTTTTTCGTTGAAGTGAAAAATTATTATATTTTTGACAGTAGATTAACTTATTTACTTGAGTTTAGTCTCTAGGGGAAAAATTTAGTGTTTTTTCATGTTGTCAAGTAATTTGACGTTTCCTCCCCCCCATCCCCTACCCCCCTACAAAAAAATTTAAAAAAATCAATCTACTCATGATCATAAACTTATTCTCCTATTATGACTTCAAATCAATTAAACAATGTGTATATGTCATCATAATTCTTCTATAAGTAGTAGACAATTCAATGACTTCAAACTAGTTCAATTCTTATTTTGTTTTTCTCCTGAAGAAACAATCAGAATTCATTTTCCAGTGTTTGCTCCTTTGAATGAATTTGACTTACTGGGAAAAAGTTCCGTTGATGGTGTACAAGTATACATATAGATATATATGATCATCAGTTTTGTGTATTATGCTACCCATTTTATGACTATAATAATGATGTGTGTAGATAAGATGGTGGTTGGAGGTGGTCAACAGGAAACTCTGGACTCGGGTTTCGTGCTACTCGGTACTGGTCAGCAAGGTGTACCTGTAATATTGAGGAAACTAGTGTTCCCTGACGGATTTGATCCCGAGTCAGCCAGCTTCACAGTCAGAGATATTACTACTTAGCTATCCTAGCTGTGACTGACCCTCTATAGAACTGAGATTTATTTACAATTTACATTGATCATTAGGTTGAGATCAACGTCATGTGTTTCAGGTCCTTCTTAGAGCAAATCGAATGCTTTCGATCAAGTTGCAACTTTATAGTGCTTCCTAGTTCTTTTTTCTCCTGAAGAAATTATGGGAATTAAATTTTTTTTGTTTTTCTTCGTTGAATAAATTTGATTTACTGGAAAATAGCTTCATTGATGGTGTACAAGTATACATATAGATATATAACATTATCATCATAAATTTTGTGTATTATGCCAGTCAGTCAGTCAGGTGTACGAAGGATTTAGATGTGACCAAATTGATCTCGTGTGCAGCTACGGGTATGAGGGCTAATATCAATTCCCGGCTGCCCACACCGTGGAAGGGTATTTCTTGAGAAGCCTGAAAAGGAAGTTGGATTAATGTCCTAACGACTTTGGAGCGTGCCCAAGGGACGACTGCTTGAGGCCGGTCACGCACGGCCTTTTTGTGAAAGATTTTTGACATGTCAGTTCCATTCTTCAAAGGACATTACCTTCGGAGATGGATATCCATGGGATAAGGCGAGATGTACGTTTTTAGGGTCGACTTTTTCTAACTCCATCCCTGCTCGTGTGATGGAAGCATCGCTGTTATGCTAGTTGTCTGAAGGAAACACCTTACTTCCGTCATATCTCTGTATAGTCAGCAGTACGACTTCGCCTTCGGACCTTGGGTTTGCTGCTTCTAGTCTTACCACTCTTCAACTGACCTGCCTGGCATGGTAGGACATTGAGGAACGATTGTTCCAGCCGGTATAGCTCGAATTGGTTCATCACGATAAGTTGCCCGACCACCACTTCTAGGTAGCAACAACTGTCTGGATGTATTATACCATGCAGTCCATGTCTCAATTATTGATATATGTATATATATTATCATACTTAACTTACTTATTTTAAACTTATTGGTAATAATATTAGTAATAATGTTTCTGCCTCCCCCCCCCCATGTCGTTCTTGGTAATTCTTGAATAGCAGTTGGTAACTGACTATACACAGAGACTTTACAGTTCAGAGAGAAACACGTAGACAATAACAAGTTTGATATTAATGATTTACATCTCATAAAAATGTATAAATTCTTTTAATTTCTGTCATTATTCCCATGTTCATCTTGAAATAACATCATTTAAATATCATCAGAAGGGGATTTGGTGGAAATTTTGAGTAATTTAATAGTTGAATTTATGAGTCAATTGAAGCTAAACCTGTAATGAACAAGAACACAAGTGGCGAAAATCGAATGTATTTAAGCACAAAATTACGGAATAGTTGATTTGCAAACTATCGATCGACTGTCTCAATCTCGACCGTACCTTCTGCAAATATCAATCCATCGTCTCTTATTATTATTGTTCATACATTTTCATACCAATGCCTTTCATTTCCCCGTTTTTCCGTTATCGATCTTCTACTGAAATATATTCAATGCTTGACCTTCGTTATATACTACTCATGTGATTATAATTAACTCACACCACAGACCATCATGAAAAACTTAGAAGCACTGGACGGTCATTTCATCCTAGTATGGAACTCCACAGTAGAAGTTCGTGTCCACAATCTCTCTCATGAGATTCGAACTCAAGATCTATCGATCTCTCACGTAAACACTTAACCTCTAGACCACTGAGTTAGTTGGCATCCAACGATGTTAATATCTAACTTCAACCAATCCACGAAATTGCTCCACCACCCATCATTGTCTTCAGTGAGTTAGCGCCCCACACAACACACACGGTTACTACCATCTTTATAACTCCCTCTACTTCTCATCATATAAATATCTTCACAGTTTCATTACAGAAGAGATGGTAGTCTGTAAAATGTTAAAAAAACACATTGATAACGAAAAACTTATCACTATATTGTTTATCCAAATTATAGTTGAAATTGTGAGTCAATTGAAGCTAGACCATCATTGAAAACCTAGAAGCATTGCACGGCAGTTTCGTCTTATTATGGGAATCCTCAACAATGCGCACCTACGATCCAGCACTTACGAGATTCGAACTCAGGACCTATCAGGACCTATTGATCACTATATTGTTTATTCATGTTAATTAATTTATTTCTTATATTGAATTTTTTTCTGTTTATTTAGAATTTATCTTCCCAAAATTAAATATCAATTATCATCATAATAATTTAATTCATTTAAATTTTTCACATAGTAACCAATCAAAATTTTATTGTTTAAAAACTGAATTTTTTAAAAAAAATACAAAAAATTGGTCAACCGCCATAGATACATGTCAAATACATCAAAAAAATCAATTCTTGTTTACAAAAAATAATAATAATTCAAATCATTTCAATGTTACCATAGCAACTATTCCTTTTATGAATAATAATGGTGGAATAATAATAGATAATCAATTAAAGTTACTTAATAATGATATCAAAATCAATCAATCAATAATTCAATATAATTTAAGTTTACAACAAATACAAGCTAATTCAGATGATCCAAATTCATTAAAAATAATGAAAATAATAAAAGATCATCGTAAACGATCTTTGGTATTACAGAATTTAACACAAAGTAATTTGGAATGATTTGCTATTATTGATTATTATTATTATTATTATTATTATTAAAATAGTTTAGATCATGAGTGAATTGAAGCTAGACGACCATGGAAAATCTGCAAGTACTGGAGGTCATTCGTCCTGGATCAGAATGTCGCGAGGCAGGATCGTAGATGCCCATTGCCACCGAGGAGTCCCACAATAGGTTGAAATGGTCGTCCAGTGCTTCAAGGTTTTCCATGCTGGTCTAGATTCAATTGACTGATGATTGTAACTAACCACAAAAACTCCTTCTGATATTATTATTATCATTATTTTATTTACTATTTTAAACCGGTGTACTTTGTTATAATTCTGTAAGAATTACATAACATCATTATTAGGAACCTTGAACTCAACTTGTATTGTAATGAAGGAGAACATAAATGGGTACAATTGAGTGTATTTGAACACAAAATTATAGAACATCTTAGTAAAATCTGAGAACCATATAAAAAAGATACCAATCAATCGTCTTAGACTTCATTGTTCTTTACTTTCTACATCAATCATTCACTATTCTCGTTCTCTTTTTATCGATATTCTTAATCTTCTACTTCTAGGTATTTTATTTTCGATTAATGATACATAATACTTATATCTGTGTGCATCAGTAACATTCACCCAAGTATAATTAGGTATGAAAAAGAATAATGTACTTAGATTTGTTAATTGAAAAAACTCACTTGCAAACAAAGGGGATTTATTAAAGTAGACCGATTGTACAGTGTAAAATATTTAGTCATTTAAGAACATTGACAATAGACAATGGCAGACTTATTGAGATGGTGTTGAAGATTCGTAGCTCTAGCAAACTCTTTATACAGTACCCAAGGAGAATCCTATAAATTTGTTGCATATCTTACAAAGTTACATCATCTAATTTTCTTTCTTTCTCTTGTATCTTCTAGATGATATCGTTTCAAATCAATCCATTCATGATGATCATAATAATCATCATCAATCATCTATTGGTGTTAAATTTCATAAAGATCATAATCTTACTTATCGTATATGGATATGTTTAAGAAATCAGACGAGAATTTGTCATCAAGAAAAGTTATTCTTTGAAAGTATGATTTATGTTTTGTTGATTTGCATTATTGTGATTGAAATTATATTCGAAGGATTAGATTCGAGTCACTCTTTATATATATGTAGGGGATACAGTTAGCTGACACCATTTAATTGATCACAATACCAGTACCTTCAATTATTCTGTTTATTCTATAGTCCATATAAAAGTCTGTTGATTAACTTCCAAGTTGATAATCATAAGACCTAGTTATTCAATATGACTTTGTACTTTTCTTTATATTAAGGTAATTGCATACTACTAATAGGATGTTATACTAATAATCCATATTATGTAATTCCATAACCACTCAATAGAATTTGAACACAAATATCTTCTTATGTGGGAATTATTAAACGTGATGAGTAAAATAATCGCAGTACATTCTCCGTTTCCTAATAAAGTAGATTACGATTTTTCTCTATGAATGCAGGTTATTTCGTAATAGGATTATTATTAATCGCCCAAAATGCCCGGATATGGCCATGGTTGGGGAGAGTCAGTTCTCCCTCACAAAATACTCACACATGCCCACGCGTATAAAGCCAATGACAAGGAAGTCCTACTAACTACCTTCTCGCGAAAGAAAGTGTTGTTCATGAAATCGAGGAGATGGAAAGCGAATATGCTGTGTTTTAACTGGGTTACTGGACACAAAGGGTACACTGAGCGGAGTTAAGAAAAACTCTTATTCCAAACAAGTAGTGTACGTTAGTTCCAAATTGCTAAGAGAACAAATAGCGTATGAACCAATCGTTGGTCACCGTCTACCATGAGATTACATCTCCTTATGTTGCTTCACCATCTTGTTGATTAGACCTCCAAGTTAAAGGTTTGCAGATAAACCGTCTGAAATAACCATCTACTTCATTCTGAGCAACCAGGCACTACCTCAGCGTTTGAACAAATCAAGTGACGAAGTATGGTACATTCGTATTTGATAACTCCATATACAGATAAATAAATAGTTTTCTAAAAGTAAACCGATACATCTTTATGATTAAAGTCATGTATCAATTTAGGCTAGATCAACATGGAAAACCTGAAAGCACTGGACGGTGGAGTTTAACCAGGTCTTTTATAATATATCGACTCACTGTAGACAATTTTGAACGGCTGCACAACTTCGTGGATTGGTTAAAGTTAGACACTAACACCGTTCGATGCCGGTTCAGTGGTCTAACGGTTAGGCGCTCGCGCGCCAGACTGATAAGTCCTGGTTTGGAATCTCGCAAGGCGGGATTATGGATGCGCACTGTTAAAGAGTCGCATAACAAAACGAAACTGCGGTCCAGTGCTTCTGATGATATCTCTTCGTGTACTAGTTTTCTTTTTTTATTCCATATAGATACTCATTATTTGATATAAGTCAACTCAATTCATGTATTACTATTCTACTCCTTCAGATTCTATAGTCAACTCAAATCTTTGGACTGGTAAAAGTATCTTCATATGGATTACCATTATAATTCTCATAGTAACACTTTGCATTTGTATCATTTTCATTATTCATTATATGAAACGTCATCAATCTAACGATTTACCATCTGTTTCATTAATTCATGAAAAAGATAAATTTTCAATACAATCTAATCATAATTTATTGATAAATATGAACCAATTAAATGGATCATTACCTCAATCTAATCAGAATATGTAAGTATGCATAACTTTCTTGTTAGCGCTTTTTTTTGGTGAGTTGGTTTTCTACGGGATAGGGTTACTAACCTCATGCCCAACCCTCCTTCTTTACCTGGGCTTGAAACCGGCAGTAGCCCCCGGAGGACATACAGGTGGAGTTCAGTACGAATAACTAGATATAAACAATAATCTAAATAGTTGAATTCATGAGTGAATTAAAGTTAGACTATCATCAAAAACCTAGAATCATTGAGTGGCTATTTTGTCCTAATTTGGAACTCCTGAGTGAGAGTGAACATTTACGATCTCGCTCGCGGGATTCGAACTCAAGACCTATCGTCTTCTCTCAGGAATGCTCAACACCTAAACCACTTAACCGGTATCCAACATTGGTAATGTCTAAATTCAACCAATTCACGATAGGATACCTTTTTCTTTTTATAATAGATATATTTTTTTCTCAGATTTGGATTCAAATAATATAAACATTTAATTAATAACTGTTATTTACTTAAGTAAAGCCATGTACACTCTGTTAAAACCATCACTGGAAGGTATAGTTTTGATATTAAGAAAGACAAATCTGTTGCTAAATCACCTAGTTAACTTATAGTAAATCCCTAGTATAGTGAATGAAAAGATGATTGTTTATACAACTACTTGATACATTGTTACTTTGTAACGTCCAAAGGAATGAGTGAAACATTCAATTCAATTTATGGTAGTTCTACTGAAGAGGATGAGTTATTCATAGGATAACAGATAGTCAGTCAGCTTTGTTCATTCAAAAAAGTAATGAATTCATCAATTTCAATAAAAATGAAACTCAAATCATTTGATTTACATTTGCATTGTAAAACTGGATGATGATTTGTATTGGTGAGGAAGATAGGTAGCTTAGGTGAATGATTTTGATGGAGTTTTTGCACTCTGAGCTGGATGGTTTGGTCGTAGAGCTTCATTGTTCCTCTGAAAGACATCATCAGCAGCACGAACGTCAGATAGAAGTGAAGTGTTCGAGTTTCTCTACATTTGGCTTATAGCTTGTGCTACAGACTTCGATGTTGATTGATTCTTGTCCATTTTAAACCTGTTATTGTTAATTTCATTGTTTTTAATCGTATCTTACATTGATTCGATTCATTGTATTCACTGATTATATCCATCTTTACTAAACAATTTGGTTCATAAGATGTTCATGGTTTTCGAGCATTATTTGAATATAAATTTTATGGTTACTTTAAGAACTTCAATGAAAACAATCATATTGATTCCTTACTATATAGAATCATTCAAATAGTTTTAAGATGATACTGTATAGAGTTGAACCTGGAACTTCACTTGCACGATGAATTTAGTGTCTAAAGATAGATATATTGAAAAAAATTACTTACTTACCTACTGACGCCTGTTACCTCTTGTCAAGGAGCATTGGCCACTCACCAGCATTCTCCATCCAACTCTATCCTGGACAATCCTTTCCAGTTGTTTCCAGTTATTATTCATCCTTTTCATATCTGTTTCTATTTCTTGGTTTTGGCCTTCCTCTTTTACGCTTCCCTTCCGAATTCCAAGTAAGGGATTGCCTTGAAAATAAATGATCTACTCTAAAATGAATTGTAAAGGATTATGTAAATTGTAAATGAGATGTACCTAATAAAGCAAATAGGATTCATTTTTTGTAGAATACTTACACTGTCAATTGACTGATTGAATAACATCGGTTTGATAAATTAACTTGAGCAAGACAATCCCATTTAAAATATTTTGTTTAAGTATTAACAACATCCTAATGTAAATGTGGGAAGGTGGATTGTTTGCTTCAGTTCGGTTAAAATTTATCCGGAACAACAACAACTATAAATAGATACTATTAAGAGGAGAAAAACATTTAAGTCACCATTAGTTATCACTTCACAATAAAACATAAGTAAATAAGCCTTTCAGTAGATCAGTGAGTTAGAATCTGTTGGTATAGTTTGATACAGTTATAATGTAATCATCTTTCTAAGAAACTTCGTCAGATTAATTTACATCAATCTGATTTTGCGCCCAGCTCATTGATTACCACTGTTCATATTTATAAATTTGACTCGCCAAATATTTCAATCATCTGACAACGACAACGAAGAAGAAGAAGATGATTATGATGATGATGTTGATTTGGATGATGATGATGATGATTGGCTGACTGACATCATGTCAACATGAATATAATTGACTAGTCACGTATCATTCATCTTGAGAGTCCCTTTAAATGTCTTTCGAAAATTAGTTAAATTTTCCCATGATATCAACTGAAGTACACATATAGTGTGTTCTACTAATATCGACAGATATGAGTAGTATGTAGCATTCATCGAAAGTGAAATGTCTGGTAGCAGAAAATTAGGAAGATTGAAGAAAAGAGAACAAGAACAGAGAATGATTAGTGTGGAACCTAAAGAACAGTGAAGTCTGAGACCATTGAATGATATTTTGCAAATGAATTATTCACTGTACGGATCTCGGATTTTACTAAGATAATCTATAATTTTGTGCTCAAATGCAATTGGTTGTCCCCACCCCCCACCTTCGAATATTCTCGTTTATTACCTTCAGACAATAAGATATTACGTTATACTTACTTACTAGACATTATCAGTCAACTAAAATGTTTACCTAGTAACTAATTATTGATCATTTCATTATTCAACTTATAGATTAACTACAGCATCTAATGAAGTTGATATGAAATTATCCACATCGAATTTAACAATATCTGAATCAAATTATTCAACTTCATCAACTATATTACCTATTACTTATGATATAACAACAAATAATAATCATATACCTACTATATTATCATTTCAATCAGATATGCCAAATTCTATAATGAAATCATCTACTATTGAATTCACACCAACATTATATGAATATAAGCCAACATCAATTAGTTACTATCCAAATTTAATCAATAATCAATATAATATAACATCAACATGTTCTTTAATTCCATTACATAATAATAATAGTAGTAATAATAATACAGACGGTTTATTATCTATACCAAAATGTATTGTAGATACATCATCAATTATTATCATTCCAGCAAATACTATTGATTTTCAATGTACCAACTAAATGAGAAATCTTTATGTTTAAATGAAACCCCCCTCCTATCACCTTTACTTACTTACGTTTTATACTTCTCGTGAAGGATCATAGGCCACCCCCCCCCCACTATTCTCCATTCAACGCTGACCTAGGCAATCCTTCCTAGTTCTTTCTAGATGATATTCATCCTTTCCATATTTGCTTCTATTTCCCAGTGTTGTGTTCTTTGACCTCCCCCTTTTTTCCGCTTCTCTTCATGATTCCAAGTTAGGGCTTACCTCGTGATGTAGTTTAATGATTTCCTTTAATGTATATACGATCCATTTAAAACATCCTCCCCCTACATTTATCAATATTTAATTGTAAATAAAATTAATGATAAATAAAAAAAGTAACATTTTCTCAAAATCGATCAATAATCTGTATTACATAATCAATTTGAAAAGAAAAAAATTTTTTTATTTTTTATTTATAACTTAACTATTTTTATTAAAAAAAAATACTAAAAAAATTTTATAAAAAATTTTTTTAATGATTTTTTTTGTTTATTTTTCAACAAAAAAAAAACAAAAAAAAAGAAATAAAACAGAACGATGGAATGATTGCATTTGATTCCATTATAGTTATGTAATACATATGTATATAGATGAATGTTTATGTATAGTGGTGTTTATATTGTATATATACATATATATGTGTGCGTGTGTGTGTGTTTGTGTACTTCATTTGACAATATATAACAATGTAATTACTTTGTTTGTGTGTGATTTATTTCATTATATTTCCAAAGTATTTTACCGTTTGCTCATGTCAATTGATCAATTTGTTAAGTGGTGTTATCTTTGAAGAAAAAAACACGATGATTATTAAATCAGAGGGGGTTTTGTGGAGATTTCAGTATTTTTCAAAGTTGAAATCATAAGTCAATTGAAGCTAGACCATCATTGAAAACCTGGAAGCACTGGACGGCCGTCTCGTCACATTATGGGACTTCTCAGTGGCAGTGCGCATCCACGATCCCTCTCTCGCGAGATTCGAACCCAGGACCTATCAGTCTCGAGCCGAAATCCTTAACCGATAGACCACTGAGCTGGCATCCAACGGTGTTAATGTCTAACTTCAACTTATCCACGAAGCTTATTAAAGATTATTAAATTCACTTGGAATTATTTTATTTGAATCTTATCATTGTTCTTTAGTATTGTATCTGAGAGTTGAAGTTCACTCTGTTACTCGAACTCAGTATCGTTCGCTTCAAACGCCATCGCGTTATTCACTTAACTACTAGATCTTGATAGTTATTGGTTTGTGCGATGAGGTGAATTTTCAATTCATTTGGTTTTGTTTGTTTGAATCTTCTCATAGACATGTTAGAACTGCAACTGGTCAGTCTCTCAATGGCATATATACATACTGTGTGTATTGTCTCAATATTGGCTTAATCCACAAGTATTATAAACGAAAAGGAACAGCAGCTAGCACTGGAATTCAGTTTGACACAAGTTTTGTCTTATTTAGGACTCATCAACTGATCAATCACAGTCCGAAACATCAATGGTAAGATTCCAGTAAACAATAACAAGTAGTTTTAAAAAGCTTCACCCCATTGTACAAGCATGTGGTTATCATGACTGCGTAGCTAAGTGGATTAGGCAGTGGTGTTTGAAGTGAACACTATTTGGTTCGTGTCCCAGAGTGAACATCAACTATGGGATGAAGATACATCCAGCCGATGAGCCACAAGTAGAACAAAACTCATATCCTAGATTCCCATGTTAGGCACTATTCATCTTTGCTTTTAATACATGATGTGATTATTTTAAAGGTATTTAATTTTTTGGGATATTATAAGGTAATATCAAATTATTAGGAAATGAGCCAATGATTAACATGAATTATTATTCAAGATCATATCATGATTAAGTAATCTACATTCTGACTTTATGTAATCACTATAAGTATTATGATTACGTAACAATGAATCATTTTAATGAACATTCATTGTATTTTACTGTACTAATTCTTTACTATTTCGTGATCATAGTTTATACTTGACCGATTCAAAAGGTAATACTAACTCACTGATATATTCTATTAAAATATAAGACTAAAGATAGAAAATTTATTATAGGAGTTAATGCTTATTCGATATTCTAGTGGACTAACAAATGAACATTTTACTTATCCTTTAACATAAGACAAAACGTAAGATTATTCCTGTTCATTATGGGATAAATTCCAATGAAATCGATAAAAAAAAACTAACGTAAAAGACTTTAATCAAAAGGAGATTTGTGGAGATTTCAGTATTTTTCAAAGTTGAAATCATCAGTTAATTAAAGCTAGATCACCATTGAATCTTGCGAGAGCGAGTTCGTGGATGCGTACTTCCACTGAGGAGTCCCATAATAAGACGAAACGGTTGTCCAGTGCTTTCAGGTTTTCCATGGTGGTCTAGCTTCAATTGACTCATGATTTCAACTTTATAAAAAGTTTCTTGAAAAAAGCATAGGATATAGAGGACAGCTGGGATGCAGCTAGATGCAGATGATCTGGTTCTTTTGTCACAAGCGCAACAATTAATTCAGCATAAGACGACCAGTGTAGCAGCAGCCTCAGCAGTAGTATATCTCAATATAAACAAAGGGAAATGCAAAACTCTCCGATACAACACAGTATGCAACAATCAAATTACATTTGACGGAGAAACTTTGGAGGATGTGAAAACCTTCACATATTTGAGCAGCATCATTGATGGACACGGTGGATCTGATTCAGATGTGAGGGTGAGGATCGGTAAAGCAAGAGCAGCATATTTAAAACTGCAAGTCATTTGGAATTCAAAACTATTCTCAACCAACACTAAGATCACAATTTCCAATACAAATGTCAAGACAGTTTTATTGCATGGTGCGGAAACGTGGAGAACGACGTAAGCCATCATCCAGAAGATACACTTATTTATTACCAGTTGTCTACACATAATACTTCGGATCCACTGGCCAGAAACTATTAGCAACAACCTACTGTAGAGAAAACAAACCAGACTTCAGTGGAGGAAGAAATCAAAAAAGGTGGGCTGGAGGTGGATAGGACACACATTGAGGAATTCAGCCAACTATGTCACAAGGCAAGCCCTCACATAGAATTCTGAAAGTCGAAGGAAAAGAGAAAGACCAAAAAACACATTACGCCGATAAATGGAGATAGACATGAGAAGAATGAACAAAAGTTGGATAGAACAAAAATGGAAGGCTCAGGACAGAATTTGTTGGAGAATGCTGGTCAGCTGCCTATACTCCATTGGGAGTAACAGGCTTAGTAAGTAAGTCTCCCTTGAAAAAGCTTCAATACAATTCAAAGATGAAAATTAGAAAATATCAGAAGAGGGTTTTGTGGAGATTTTTAGTAATTTAATAATTAAATTGATGAATCAATCTTAATTAAAGTACTATGAAAAATCTGGAAGCATTGGAAGATCATTTCATCCTAGTATGGTATTCTTCCGTAGTGAGCATTCACGATCTCGCTTGCGCACGAACGCTCAACATGTAGACCATAGAGTTGATATCCAATACCATTAATGTTTAACTTCAACCATTCCACAGAATTGGGCCACCGTCCATCATTATTATTAACTAGCTGAGACAAATAATTAACCAAAATATCTGAACAATGATCGCTTATTAACTGACATCCAGCTTGATAACTTCTGTAGCAATTCCTGCTGTAACATAGTCTTCATAATTTTTTCTCCTTTAATTACATTAGTACAATCTAGTATATCAATTATTATATAAATAAATTATAAACATCAAACTTATTTCTCTTAGGAAAGAATCCTAATAGATGACCTTAACATGCTTTTACCACTTGTATGATCTTATTAACACAATTACTTTAATTACTTACGCCTGTAACCCCTCCTCGAGGAGCATAGGCCGCTCACCAGCATTCTCCATCCAACTCTGTCCTGAGCCTTCTTTTCCGGTTCTTTCCAGTTGCTATTCAGCCTTTTCATATCGGCTTCTATTTCCCGGCGTAGTGAGTTCTTTGGCCTTCCTCTTTTCCGCTTCCCTTCCGGATTCCAAGTTAGGGATTAAGTCGTGATGCAGATTGGTAATTAACACAATAACTTATATATAATAGGATTACAAAGTTGTCAAAACAAACCCCATTGTTTCTGACAGTTTACAAAATTGGTAAACCTTTTTTCTAACAAGTACTCGGTATGTTGTGTGAAATTGATCACTTACATTATAACTTAAGCCTGTTACACCTCGTGGAGAAGCATAGGCCGCCCACCATCATTCTCCATCCAACTCTGTCCTGGACAATCCTTTCCAGTTATTTCCAGTTGTTATTAATTCATTTAATATGTGCTTTTATTTCCAAATGCAATGTGTTCTTTAGCCTTCCTCTTCCCTGCTTCCCTTCACCATTCCAAGTTAATGTTTGCCTTGTGATGTAATTTGATGATTTAATCAATGAATGTCCTATATACTTTCGACGTCTTTTACTCATTTCCTCTTCAGCTGGAAGCTGGTTTTTCCTCTACCACAAAACGCTGTTGCTGATGGTATCCGGTCGTTTAATGTTGAGTACTTTGTATAGACAAGTATTTATAAATGCTTGTATCTTCTTGACGAGGGATGTAGTAGTTCTCCACCCGTTCAGCTCCAAACAGTAGAACTGTCTTGACGTTCGTATAGAAGATTGTGATTTTGATGTTGGTTGACAGTTGTTTTTAGTTTCAATTGTAGGAATGATGTCCTTGCATTGTCAATCCTCGCTTTAAGGATCTGCATCAGATCCTTCTTGTTCATCAATGATGTTTCCACTTAAATTATTGGTTGTATTTTATCTAGTATTTTTCGGTTATTTTCGGTTATCTACAATTCACATGAATCCCTCTTTCCAAGCTAGATTCGTTCTATTATCCTCATCTTTGGAATATACTATTTCATTTCTATCACTGATGCTTTTTTTATATTGAGCTTATTGACTTTACTGAAGTACATGGATATCAGTGCTTGATGTGTTTGCTATTACCGAACCCAGTCATTATTAAATCACCTATTAAGGATGTATTCATATATATATGTATATAAATTTCCAAATGTTATTGTATTTGTATTTTTCAATGATTTAATATCTCCGATATTTGACTCAGTTAGCATTATGATTCATTCTTCAACAATGGAAATAATAGTTAAGCGTTGAAGGTCCTAGATTCGAATCGTTAGTTGACGTGATTTAACATTGTTCTCAATTAAGTAGATCCATTTATTCTTTGTCTTATTTTAGGATTTTATGTTCCTAATCTGTAATAGCTTAGGTCATCTGTAAAATTCAACTATTCAAATAAGTACAATTTCCACAAATCCTCATTTAAATAATAATTATGTGTTCAATAAAGACTAGCTTCAAGATGGATTTCCAAGAGTTCTAGTGAAAAGCCGCGACAGATGAACTACACTCTGTTTAGAGTGAAGGAAGTTATCCACTTCAACTGACTCATGATCTAAACCATAAAATTACTAAAATCTCCACA